TAGTGCCTTTGGTCACAAACGATTTCAGTCTACCACTGATTATAACTGTTTTTTTTTTTTTTTAAAATGGATATTCAAGTCGACTTAGGACTGAGTATTTCCAAACACGAGGTTAGTTGGTGACGAAATAAACCCTCTCAAGAATTTACTCCAATATTTCCATAGTCACTCTTCAATCGGTCAGTCTATTTTTATCTTTTCTGCGTGAAAATAACCAAGGGGGAGATCAAACGATACATCTCAAGATGACAAGTTCAGGAACCAACGTGATATAAAGGATACCAAAACGCCCACTACATCCGCTGGTGCATGCCATGATTTAAACATTTTGTCAGAAATCGATTCGTCACTCTTGAGCGATGTGAAGACTGCTTCACTATCTTTAACTATCTTTAGGACATAAATAAATCATGAGATGCCTGATGCAACTGAAACGAATGTATCAAACCAAACCACTACAAGGTCATCTGTGAAGAAAGGTTGGAGATAGTATGACCTGATTCGTTCCGGCAGGCTTGGTGGTTTAATCTCTAAGCCTAGATGAGATAGGAAAACTAAGTTGAGCATCTGTACATGGCTCGTATCTCAGTTTTATTGCATCGTTTATATGCAAGAATAGTAGCACATTGCCCTCATTGACTGTTATCTTCTACCCGTTTAATCGTTGATCTTAATCGATCGGTCAGAGTTGTGGTTTAATCTCTAAGCCAAGATGCGATTGACAATCGCAATATAACATTTGTAAATGGCTTTGTATCTCAGTTTTATTACATCGTTTATATGCAAGAACAGTAGTACCGTTGCCCTAATTCGTCTTCTCCTTTCCCAGCTTAATCGTTGGATAGTATCTCAACATTTTTTAGGTAAGAGTGGATGTAACAACAACATCTGTGCTACTGAAAAGTACAACAAATGGAATTATGTGATAATCCACTTGGACATTAAGACTATTATTGTTTTCAATTTGTTTATCCAGAAATTTTCTCGAAGTAGGTTTTTGTTGGGATGTCGTTTTGTTCATGAAGGTTTTCAATAGGTGTAATTCCGACATAATTAATTATAGTGTGATCTGACTGGTTAAAATGTTTAGAAACAGATTTGTCAAGATTATGATTTATATCGAATCTATGGCCATTGAATCGTGTTCTTAATTTGTTTTTTGTTTCACCAATATATTGTTTAAGACAGACAGTACATGATATAATGTATATAATATTGCTGCTGTCGCACGAAAGGTTTTCTGTTATTGGAAATTTGGCATTATTTGAGGTGAAAAACGAGTTTAGTTAAAAAATGGGCAGGTCAAACAAGAAGTTTTGAAACAGGGTGTGGTATTTGCAGAGAGGTCGATGGTGGTAGAGACATCTAACTTGGCTTTCATTTCACAAATCGTTAAATTCTTTATCTTTCGAAGGAACCGTTAAAATCTGTCAGATAATGGTGAGCTGAAGTAAGATAAATACGCCGAGACAGTGTAACTGAATATTTGTATATCTATGCTAAAACGTCTTCAGAATAAAATATGTTTTATAATATCTATTTTTCTTCAATTAGTATATATTACCCTTAAATTCGTTTTATATGTGTTCTAATAACATATATAGTGTACATATTTGTTGTAATAGCACATAATAATATATGTTCTAACAAGGTATATTTCTGTAGTAATAGCATATATTTGTTCAAATAAGGAACATATTTCTAGTAATAGCACACATTTGTTCAAATAATGTACATATGTGTTGAAATAGCACTTAAAGTATGTATTTGTTCTCATAACATATACTTGTCTTAATGATGTATGTATTTGTTCTCATAACATATACTTGTCTTAATGATGTTTCTTCAATTAGTATATATTACCCTTAAATTCGTTTTATATGTGTTCTCATAACATATACTTGGCTTAATGATGTATGTATCTCTTCTCATAACATATACTTGTCTTAATGATGTATGTATTTGTTCTCATAACATATACTTGGCTTAATGATGTATGTATTTGTTCTCATAACATATACTTGGCTTAATGATGTATGTATCTGTTCTCATAACATATACTTGGCTTAATGATGTATGTATTTGTACTCATAACATATATTGGCTTAATGATGTATGTATTTGTTCTCATAACATATACTTGTCTTAATGATGTATGTATTTGTTCTCATAAAATATACTTGTCTTAATGATATATGTATTTGTTCTCATAACATATACTTGGCTTAATGATATATGTATCTGTTCTCATAACATATACTTGGCTTAATGATATATGTATCTGTTCTCATAACATATACTTGTCTTAATGATGTATGTATCTGTTCTCATAACATATACTTGTCTTAATGATTATGTATCTGTTCTCATAACATATACTTGTCTTAATGATGTATGTATCTGTTCTCATAACATATACTTGTCTTAATGATGTATGTATCTGTTCTCATAACATATACTTGTCTTAATGATGTATGTATCTGTTCTCATAACACCTACTTGTCTTAATGATGTATGTATTTGTTCTCATAACATATACTTGGCTTAATGATGTATGTATCTGTTCTCATAACATCTACTTGTCTTAATGATGTATGTATTTGTTCTCATAACATATACTTGTCTTAATGATGTATGTATTTGTTCTCATAACATATACTTGGCTTAATGATGTATGTATCTGTTCTCATAACATCTACTTGTCTTAATGATGTATGTATCTGTTCTCATAACATATACTTGTCTTAATGATGTATGTATCTGTTCTCATAACACCTACTTGTCTTAATGATGTATGTATTTGTTCTCATAACATATACTTGTCTTAATGATATATGTATTTGTTCTCATAACATATACTTGGCTTAATGATGTATGTATTTGTTCTCATAACATATACTTGGCTTAATGATGTATGTATTTGTTCTCATAACATATACTTGTCTTAATGATGTATGTATTTGTTCTCATAACATATACTTGTCTTAATGATGTATGTATTTGTTCTCATAACATTATACTTGTCTTAATGATGTATGTATTTGTTCTCATAACATATACTTGTCTTAATGATGTATGTATTTGTTCTCATAACATATACTTGTCTTAATGATGTATGTATTTGTTCTCATAACATATACTTGTCTTAATGATGTATGTATCTGTTCTCATAACATATACTTGTCTTAATGATGTATATAGTTGTTATAACAAAAACTTGGCTTTTATAGTGAATTATATGTGTATAATTTATTTTATGTGTTACGACTTCATAAATCATTAAAATTTAACTTTAAATCTATTGTTTTTTTCTAGTTCTGCTTGTTTTAAAGATGAAGAAAGGAAACATTTTGGGTAGCTGATGATATTGGGTGGAAGATGTAGTAATTTGCCAATTTTGCCAAACCAGTATAATCGTAAGAATCCTTTAAAATGCTTCTGTCAGTCAACCAGACACAGATTCTGTCAAATTAACCGATTAAAGAATTCATATTTGATAGGTGTCTGTTGGCATGACGACGTCTGTCAAAATTATATTATATATATAAACCGTAATTAATATGTATTAGATAAATGTATATGATAAAATAATCGAATAAAGGCCTGGTGGTGCTCAGTTAGAGCATGCTCTCAGGGGCGGCGCCAGTGGGAGTACAGGGAGGGGGGGGGGGGGGGGATCACCCCCATTTGTACCTCCACTTTACTTTCAGAAAATCTAAATGTCTACCTTTTTCTCCAAAATATGTGTCAGAATGCACAAAATCAATTCAGTTTTTCCAAAATGTTCTTGAGAGAACCCGCTAAGACGCTCTATGAGAGGCTAGCGTCTATGACACCATCACAGAGAAGCCAAAATTTGAATTCAGCCTCATTGAGTCAGTCAGTCTTCTTAAGGGTGGCGCCGTCACTGCATGCTCTTCTGTTACAAGATGAATTTAAATGGGTTATTAACTATATAACATTATTCGATAACATATGCTCACAAGTATTTATGTTCTTGGCCTAGTTAATGTTAAAGCAGAAAGGTTACGAAAACTTCGTCAGTACACTTGTCAATCTTCTTGATGAGCTTTAAAGTCGTCATTTTTACCTTCAAACGCGGATAAGTCTGGACACACATGGATTCGAAGGCTGGCATTATTTCCATGACGCCTACTTTATTATCCCACTAATGTTCAACAGTAATTACATTTAAAGCCTCAATTTATTTTATTACTACCCCAACCCACTATTCTACAATTATACCGACATAAACGACATCATTTACATCAGGGTTTTTCAACTTGAGGGTAATTACCCTGTTAGAAGTAATTTCGATTTTTTAGGGTAGTGTTTAGGGTTAGGTTTTTGTAGGGTTTAGAGTAAAGGGTTCTTAAACCCTGGTGGTGGAAATAGTCAGGCTATATTGTCCGACATGAACAAGATTGCTTGGAAAACCTAAGAGAAAACCACGAAATAGTAAGGATTTATAGGGGGAATGGGGTAATGCATTCAAGCAAAGCTTCTGATGGGTGTAATAGAAAAAAAAAGTCTGGCAATCCCTGATGCAGTGAATCATTTTTGCGAGTCTTTGTAAATGAACTTGGAGAGAATAGAGCATGTTGTCAGGGATCATGTTTTAACATGTAGATTAAAACAAGTAGAGTAACAGGTGTTTTTTTTTTTAATTGAAAAAAGATTTTCATCTGTGGGATGTAATCGATGTATCCTATCATTTGGTTGGGATTTCTGAACATAATCCAGTTCAGACATCCGCCCAGTGTATTAGCAGTCTTTCGCTACTAGCACTGCCCAAACCGTAGTAGCCTATAAGAACTCTGAAGATATAGCTTTAACCCTCGACAAAGTTACTAACTTACTAGAACACTTCTATACTTATTTGATACGGTAATTTAGACGTGTGACTTATTCATGGTCAGTTACGTGGCCAAACTTATCAAAACTATAAATTTGAATGATATTAAATGTTCAGCAACTGTAAACTAAGCAAAATAACTTACCTGTGACGTCACAAAATTTTCGGGTCTTTCGTGATCTAATCCAGCATTATCTGCCTTGAATTCATAATTAACGCAACGTGTGCAGGCATCCATACTTTTGACCGTAATCCCGTGTCTTATGTCACCTCCAGGACCAGACTTGCTATGTAATATTCACCTTATTCCAGCCTACGACTACTAACTACTGTGTATATTGTAAACGAGTTGGACTGTTGTCATTTACTCACCAGCTGGATCGATAGGAATTGTTAGCAGCACATATATTACTAACTCCATTCAAATGTCATGTGTGAATCCCCCCACCCAAGACGTGTTATGTAGATAAAAACAAGAGTAAAAGATTGTTCAATATGAAGATTTATTAATTCTGGAAAGTAGCTCGTCTGATCCGAGCTTGATTTGGGGTATTGCTCACGGTGATTACACTCCTACCGGTATTAATCAAGACAACTTCAGAACAAGAAATAATTGCCGAGTGTAATTTTCAGTGAAGCTATCAATTAATCTTCTCAAAGATTTCCGAACGCTTGGTAGAACAGAAACTTAACATTAATTCTATTATCTCATCAAAGTTATGTTCAATATTAATGATCAAGAGAAGTCTTACGTTCTATTTTATGAACATTATTGTGATATATAATGTAGACGGTCGACGTTAGTCAGAGTGGAAATTTAGCCAGGACAGTGGCTCCACTTTCCTCTTTTGGGATAAAAGAATTCCCCTTAAAACTTAAAATCTGTATCATATATTGTCACTTTTGTCGATTTTGTCCTGTTATCGATCATCATGATTTAAAAAAGGGAGATAACAAATGATTAGACATCTAACTAATTCTGTAACAAAATTACGACAAGGTTGTGATACATACATAAATAGGAAATCCATTAAAATTTTCAACCTCTACCTCTCTACTTTCGCGCATTATTAATTTTGAACTTGTTTGACCAATCAACTTGAATGACCAGAATGTGATTGTGATTTGTGGGATAGCAAAACACAAATAGAGCAATTTGACAGCCTCCCTGGGTTCCGCTATCCCAGAATTCTCCCTTGTTATCAACGGGTCCTATATAACGCCCTTTGATTGGTTAACATAACGTCAGTAGATCGGGACTGGGGTTAAAAAAAAACTGGGTTAGATAAAACTGGAAAAAGGAAAAAATAAGAAAAAGGATTTTTTGTTTAATTTTAATTAGATTGATTAGGCCAAATTTTAGATTTTTTTCAACTGACTCCTTTCCGTGCCAAACCCACATTCCTAATCGACCAACTGGGCTACGTCAATCTATTGTTATTCCCCCGTAACATCTGTTATTATTAATATGTTTACTGTCTTTAGTATATTACTACCTATATTGACCAAACTTAATGAGACCTCAATACATCTGGCACAAATTTGATCTGAAAACGTTTAGAGCCAGAAAAAATATTGCATAGTCGCTGATAACGTTTGACGATTATCACATAGCTTACAGATATAAGTATATGTGCAGATTTTAGCCGCTGGAAATTTCCCAACTAAGATGCAAGCATTTAAAGTATTTAAATTTAAATGTGATCATGATGATGGATTAAAACCCTGTACATGTTGCGATGTCTATATAGCTCTGTAGAGAAGGAACACAGTGGTACAACTGCGTCAATAGCATCTTTCCAATTTGCTTCTTTAACCTTGATTAGTTATTCATGTAATTTGTAGCCTACACACGGAAAGAGTTATTTTTATGTTAAATTTAATTTGCCAAGTTATTTTTCCTAAATAGATAACCTGAATAATTGATGCCATCTTCTTTAGTTCTGTGTTTGAAGAAACATGTACAAACATTGATTTTGTAAAGTCTCTTTGTGAAGGTTGGTATAGTCAACGATCGAATGTACCGGAAAGAATGGTGACAAAGAAAATCAGTGTTCCTTAGCGAAAACATTATTAAATATTAATTTTTATTCACTTGTTCTTACATACTATTCGCAATGGAAACAGTTTGTTTTTTGCATCTCTTTTTTTCCCCCAATTGATGCCAAGTTAATTCAAAGTTTTATAGCTTGTAGAGCCTGAATTTCTTATGTCCATTCCTATCACGAATAACTTTTCATCTTTTCATTTGGTAATGGAATACTTATCGTTAGCAAGTTTGATTCGCTTCGTATCCACCTCAAGGTAAAAAAAAAAAACCATGAAGCATTCGTTAGACTTATCATTAATGGAAAAATAGGACGTTAAACTTTCAATTCTCCTGTGGCCCGTATACCTAATCAAAATCTATAACTTCTAGACAGTTGCTTTATTAATTATCGAATTATTGTCGGTTATGATTATCGCTCTCTTAAGAATTCGACAAGAACCAATTTTCAGAGAGAAGAGACTGAGAAAATATGACTTTAGTATAATTTTAAATTATGCACCAAATAAATGAAATTAAGAAGAATTTGATTATCTTAGACCTTAAATACTATTACAATTTTTTATATGAATCAGTTTTCAATTAACTTAATATATTTATATGTATTGAAATCTTATTATCCATTCGAACTACACACTTTACAAAATCAATATGACAAGATAATTTTAAGCTTTGTCAGTAAAGCACATTTCGTATGAAACGCTTTATCACTTTAACATTGCTGTATATAGTGTCTTTATATATGTTTTAAAACAATTTATTTAAACCTAATTAGAGCATGATAGCTTTAAGGCTCAAACATTTCTTTTATGTTTAATTTGACAATATTTGGTGCATAACACGGTATGTGTGGTTGTATTTTACCAGTGTTGTGATCTCTCAACCAAGTTGTTAAATAATCACCATACAGGGTATAAATCTAATAGAATTCTTCTAACCAATAATAGATCTGTCACACAACCTATTCCTCGCGTCTGAAACCAAATTAAATAATCTACCCACTCAACGTTTGAACTTTGAAAATATCAAATACAATTTAAAATGAAATTAAAGTCTCTCCACTTGAAATAGAGTTAATCAAAGTTACATCTTGTTAAAATCTTATACCGGAGACGTTCCCTGATTTCATTGACATTTTCAATATGTAACGAAGATCAACATCAGAAACGGTCGAATATTTTAGGTTGTTGAAACTGGTTGCTTCTTATTCGAAACATTACGGCTTAACTAATTGAGTGGGGTCCGTGAACTTAAGTAGGTTGGGGCCCCCTACCCCGGAAACTTTTTTAACACGTGCTCTCCTGCATTTTTTCTGGGGTGGGAGGGGGGGGGGGGGGGGGCTCTTCAGGGTTGGAGCCCGTGGTGATTGCGTCTTATCACAAACTTAGGCCTAAAGCATGTCATCATGAAACCATAAAATGTATTGATATCTTATCAATTTATACTGCACGTTATATATTTGCCATATGCACCAAACAAATTTAAGCCTCATTTAATTCTATTTTGCTCGAATATCGCTTTGGATTAAATTCTGTAAATGCATATTAAATTTCAGGCCACGTACTCTCGAAACGATCTTAGCGCTAGGATGTCCTAGGTTCTTAAACATTGATTCTAGGACATCCTAACGCTAAGATCGTTTCGAGAATACGTATGGCCAGATCGGATAAAACAGTGCAGCCTCTATGACCATGTGGACATATCATATAGCATATAGTATTGTTATCCGAAACATCTGCCTCTATTTCAGTCTCTGATGGATATTTTGACAGTTGTCTACACCAGCTGACATCTACACATTTGAACGATCTAATAATATTGTACCATAATCAGGTAAATACCGTATCACAATTCCCGAGATTTAATTATAAAACCCAAACAGAAAAAGTCTTAAAAGATTGTAAAGAGGTTTTCCAATTTTTATGTGTATTGGGGACACTGATAGCATTGATTTGCTCCATTCCAATTTTCAATCAGATGTCTGTGGTGCCTGCAATTTCACTAAAACTAAGTGTTTGATTACGTCACTGATGTAAATTGATGTTAAACAACCCCTTTGAATCAGACAAGGAACAAGTGGAGAAAATAACCTAGAATTAATTGTTATAAATGTGTAGAATAGAGTATATATATCAAGATAAAGGAAGACAGTAATAGAGTATAATGTTGATTTACAAAGCTACTCTATAAATTGTATTCTTTATTCTAGCTTTCATGTTTTTTATTGCAAGGGAACAGGAAGTACGGTCTGTATTGCCGTGTCTAAATTGCCGAGAAAAATTATTGTTAAAATGTGTAATAGAGATTTCTGAGAACATAAAAATTTGAACCTGTCTGTAAAAGACAAATTCATATTACAATATTTAATCTGAAATGCTTGCTGAAATGCAAAAATGCATTTACTTAAGAGGGACGGGTGCGCCATTTATTTTATCAATCTTAGGTATACCTTTATCTCAAAAACGGGATTTTTTAAAGCTAAGTCAGTCAGTTATAGTTCTCAAATACATGTGTGACCAGAATTATCCGTGTTTGAATGTTAAAGAGATGAGTCGTATTTTCTTGAGACACAGCATATATGTATATATAGAAAAGACATCTATAGAAATAGGAAAAGAATTTCCTAGTTTGAGATATTTTTGAAGGAATTATGCGATTTTCGTATATTCCTAGTGCTTTTGAAGATTATTTACTATTCAAGGCTCAAATCCACCCCCAAAATGGCGCATCTGCCCTTTAACCAATATATCAACTTACCCAACATTATGACTTTCGGAATTTCTTTTGCCAAGTCCAATCATTATTCCGAAATTCCGATCTTTTAAAAAACGACACGGATCATCCTTAAACTTAGAAAGCATTGATTCATTGAAGTTCGAAATTGACCTTATTTTAAGTATAAGCCCATAATGCATGTTTGTGTTGATCAGGGACTCGTTCAAGTCATAGTTCTTGATTTCGTAAAACGCTTCAAATTCGGTCAGTTAGCTCTATAGATAGAGTTTCGGACGAAATGTAAATGCAGCCGTTTGAATGGATTGTACACAAAAAGAATAAAGCCAATCGACCTTCGAAGTTTGATGTGCCTTTTGACCTAAGCCATCACCTCTCTGAAATGTACATTAAAGTAATGCCTTGCCTTGTGAATGAAGGGAGTCCCTTTTATAAACATGTTTAGAAGTGCATTAGCCTACTATAATTGAATATCTAAGTTTATATTATCAAATAGTAAAATTTTCGTTTTTAGTCAAACCCAATACAAGGAGCGATAACTCTAATTAACAAAATGGCGGAAGATCAAGAACAGGTTCTGAATTTTGCTAAATAAAACAAAATATAAAGCGTTTGGTGTTCTGATGACATTCTATTAAACATATATATTGCTAATAAACTTTAGTTTTCAGTTATGCCAGTCTGTTCAATTGACATTCACTGTAAAACATACGAATTTCAAAGTCTTTTTGTTGGTGCTTGCTTCGTTTAGGAAACGTGTTGGTTGGTTCGGTTTGCCCGCCTCCACCTACGGCAGTAGGATTGCCTTCTTGCACACATTTGTTGATTGCATATTTCTTAAAAAGATGTTTTTGTAAATAGGATTATGGATCCATGTTCATCAAAACACACATATATATTCCAATTTTCAATCAGATGTCTATTCAATTCTATTAAAACTAAAGGGCATTATGTGATAAAGCATATTTTGTGATAAGTGACATCATCAAACACTTATTTTTAGTAAAATTGCAGGAACCACAGATGTCTTATTGAAAATTGGAATGATGTAAATTGATGTCTACGATACATATATATTTTTTTTTGAGAAAACCTCTTTACAATCCCTTTAATAAAAAAATATTTATCTTTATTGATATGATGATCAGACTATCATTTGGTTGGTAAATGACAAGTTAAGGTATATTAATAGCTAAAGTTGACATCCCTGATGAGGTAGTTGGATCTGGATCAAGTACCGTAGTAATAGCTGTAGCCTACTGTTCCAACTACTGACAGTTAAAGACAACCATGAATCTATACTTTCTTATTTTATATTTGTAGCAAGTTCCAGCTCAGACTGTAGAGGAACCATTGGATCTGATCCGTTTAAGTTTAGATGAAAGAATTTATGTAAAGATGCGAAATGACAGAGAGTTAAAGGGAAGATTACATGTAAGATTTTGTTAATCATTACTTACTTTAATTAAGCTGAGTTAATTAGTTATGATACTTCACGACTAACTTATTTGAGTTGATTAAATCGTAATACAAAGTGGTTGAGATGTGGATTCAGATATTCAGGAAATTGTTGATTTAAACTATTCTTTTTTACACCAGGCATATGATCAACATCTAAATATGATTATGGGAGATGTAGAAGAAACAGTTACAACAGTTGAAATAGATGAAGAAACTTATGAAGAAATATATAAGGTATGATATGACACATGAAGGAGCTATTCTCTTTCTGTAGTTGAAAAATTGCTTGTACAAATGAAAGGAAAGCAACACTGAAGTCATCTGGTCTTGACTCAAACATAGATGACCAAGTTATTCTTTTGCTTCTTTTAGCCTTTAGTTTGGGGATGAATATCAAAAATTGTATATACACTCAAGTAACCTAATTTCGTGGAAACCTATTTTCGTGGATTTCCGGAAAGGATTAATAATTTACATGAGCGACTTTGCGTGACCTCCGCATTAGTTTGTTTTAATGAACATGGGTTTTCTGTACAATGTCAACTAGTTGAATGAATTTAGTTGTTTTAAGCAAGGTGAAATGTATTAATGTATACTTTGACAAATACAAAATGATGGATTTCAGTTATTACCAAACGTCATCATTTTTTATCAGCCGGATTTCCTTATAATCCCTAGCCGTAATTGGAACTAAGTGTCGTCTGCTAGAATGTAGTCCAACAAATGATGTCATGTGATCAACTAGCGGATTCCATGTCGGCAAAAAAATTTCTATGGAACACAAAGTGTACCATATTCTTATGTTGTTTCAGTGACTTTTAGCAATAAATCACGCTACGTATCTTATTTTGTCAGTCACTATTTTTTTTTTAAATCGTGGTTCTTTGAAGGAATTGTCACTAGTTATAATGAATTGATATTAAAGATAAATACTAAGAGAAGTTAATTATACCACCCGGTATCCATACAACGTGTTTTTCTAGACTTATTTATAGTTCAAACATTGTACACGAAAATAGGTGACGCATTCTGCGGCCGTTACCGAGTTGGTTGCTCATGAAATATGGGTCAAAGTGAAGGATTCATAAAGAAAATCGAAATAAACCAATTTTAATTATTTTGTAGAATATCTGAGGAAACATCTAAGACATAAAAAAAAAATTTCGTTTTTTTAACTTTGACGAAATTCGGTGTTGAATCCTTATATCCACGAAAATAGGTTACACCACTGTATTCTTTCCAAAATGACATTGACAAGGCAACCATATTACTGTGTGTCCTAATTGCCAATTTGTTCATCTATTTTTATTTACTTTCAGTCAACTAAAAGAAATATTCCTATGTTATTTGTGAGAGGAGATGGTGTTATTTTAGTTTCACCACCAATGAGGACTGGTTCCTGAATTTTTTTCAAGTCATCATTTTATTCTGTTTTTCATTCTACTTACTTTGCTGGCAAGGAATGCACAGCAGGAGTTTCAATAGTTTCTATGTGGGATAGTTAACAATTGAACAATGTAAAAATTACTGAGTTTAAGATATAACTGAGATAAGGGTACAATATATTGGATTATGACTAAAAAGGACTCTTTTGTGCATTTAAAAGTGCTATTTATGTTGTTAAGACCAACACCTCTATCTTAGTGGGTAGGTCAGACTCTGGCTTCAAAGGAGCTTTGGCTGTTAAAGTGATACGTCTTAGAATGTACATAAAATTTAAGTTCTTGAAATGGTCAATATGGGTATATATTCATCAGTGAACTTAGCTGGTGTCATAAAATTACAACAGAATCCCTATAAAATCTGGAAAATTAACAAAACTAAGTAATTATTGAAATGGTAAATGGTAATATTAAGCGTTATTCAATAGTTAATTGCATATTCATGGATAATTACTAAGTTTTTTGGATTTATCGGATTATATAAGAATCCTGTTATGTTATTTATGACACCAGGTATATCTACTGATGAATATATGCTCTTATTGGCCAAGTTTAAAATTCTAAAATTTTCTGTTCATTCTAAGACGTATTATCACTTTAACATAGAAATTCAAGAGTTACTATTTTTTACAAGTTGTCTTGACTTGTCAATCATAAGGGTTCACATGCTTGCAATAATTACAGCTATACATGAGTGTTGTTGAGGGCCATTTACTAAAATAAAGTACTTTAACAACATCAATCTTATGAAGTATTTCAACTTTTAGTTGTTTAATGTCACCATTTATGCCGTATACTTCATTTGTTATCACAATAAATCAAGATATTCTATGATCTGAACAAAATTAATATTTTTCATTTGCAGTGTTACATTTTTTGTGTGTAAAAATGTAACTTATTAAGTCACACATACTTTCATGTGGTTTAGAAAAAAAATGTATTTCCTACTTTCTACCTAATGGGCTGATGAGACTTGTGCAATGAAGGACATTTTGCCAGGACAGCAGTGTTAGTCTACTATCTCAATTTCCAACTGTTGAGAGATCTAATAAGTGCACAGCCTGTAATCACAGATCCTTGGCTTATTGCCTCATCTAAACTACTATAATAAGGAAGAAATAAGGAAACTAGATGGTAGATATTATATTACAATAGTTCTGGTTCACAATATACAAGCATTCATTTAAATAAATCTCAATCAATACATCTTATACACTCAAGGTTTTTCCTCAGTTTAAGGACAGCAAGTCCACAGATCTGCATTTTATTGGATGGAAAGGGTGTGGTTTAGATATGAAATAAGTTGGTAACACCACAAATTAGGACTCAATCCTTTTGAAAAAAAAAAAGCTAAAGTCTTTAAAAAGAAATTGAAGGTACCTGCCTGATTAGCTACATGCAAATCACAGAATATAATAGACATACCAAAAATTACATTTCCTAACGCTGTCCTTAACTTACAAGTCCCAAATTATATAATTTTTACACCTTAAACTGGTTGCAGACAATGTATACAACCAATTGATTCCATGTAGTCACATGATTTTTTTGTTAATAAAAATAAAAATACAAATAGCAAATGCTTGATTTAGTCTGCAAAAATCTGTTTATATGAATACCAGACTGGCCCAGATAGCCTGAGCTACAAACCAAGGGAGCCCATCCATTTGAGCTGGCTTACCTTCCATATAAATACATTTGAGTAAATCTTGAGAATTTAAAGTGAGGCCAGACCTGAGATACTTGGTAAACTGAGACATCTTGCCACATATAACCAGGCTAATATAAGAAGAATTTTAGGAAATGCTAATAATGCCCTTTAAATGTGTTACTTGATGTGACATGATATGATAAGATAGCTTGCCAGGCAAGGTAATATACGCCCACTTTGTTTGAAATTGAATATTTGTTAGAAAATAGCAAACATAGACACCAGGAAATATTCAACTTTTACCCAAATCCATCACAAACTGTGCCATCACAAGTTAAAAATCAAACACATTTGTAAAAATATCGGCAATAACTTGTATTTTATATTTCAAAAGGTTTAGTTTTGATTGTGATCAATTTCATCAAGTTGTCAAATTTGTTTTAGACTTCTGCTTTGTAGAATAAAAATTACGTGTTGTACAAGATTTTTGATCAGATTTATCCTTGGGTGATTTCAATAAGTCTGTCATGAATTGTGTATTTGCAGATTATATTCAAAAATATAGGCAATAATTCATACTACATATTTTTCGATTTCCCTGATTTTTCTATAGGGTTTATCCTTGGGTGAATACGAACACTCATACCAAGTTTCTTCAAAATCTGTCAAGAATTGTGCCTTCTAGAGTGTTTACGAGCTAAAAATTGAATGGTTTGCAAGAACAAGGGCAATAATTCATACTAAATATTTTTCGATTTCGCTGATTTTCAATAGGGTTTATCCTTGGGTGATTACAAACACTCATACGAAGTTTCGTTAAAATCCATCAAGAATTGTGCCCTGTGGAGTGTTTACGAGCTAAAAATTGAATGTGTTTTCAAGAACAAGAGCAATAATTCATACTAAATATTTTTTTTTTGATTTTCAATAGGGTTTATCCTTGGGTGATTACGAACACTCATAACAAGTTCCGTTAAAATCCTTCAAGAATTGTGCCTTCTAGAGTGTTTACGAGCTAAAAATTGAACACGTTTTCAATGACAAGGGCAATAATTCATACTAAATATTTTTCGATTTCGCTGATTTTCAATAGGGTTTATCCTTGGGTGATAACGAACACTCATGCCAAGTTTCGTCAAAATCCGTCAAGAATTGTGCCTTCTAGAGTGTTTACGAGCTAAAAATTGAACGCGTTTGCAAGAACAAGGGCAATAATTCATGCTAAATATTTTTCGATTTCGCTGGTACCAAGTTTCGTCAAAATCTGTCAAGAATTGTGCCTTCTAGAGTGTTTACGAGCTAAAAATTGAACGCGTTTGCAAGAACAAGGGCAATAATTCATACTAAATATTTTTCGATTTCGCTGATTTTCAATAGGGTTTATCCTTGGGTGATTACGAACACTCATACCAAGTTTCGTTAAAATTCGTCAAGAATTGTGCCCTGTAGAGTGTTTACGAGCAATTGTGGACGGACGGACCGACGGACATGGGTGACGACAATATACGCCCCCCATTTCATGTGGGCGTATAAAAATTGGGTTAAATGCTCAAACAATTAAAATATTGAGTATTTGATGTCAGTCAAAAAGCCCAGGGTTAATCAATGCCTACATGGTCTAAAAATAACAGGTCTGCATCTTGATGTTAATATTATGAGTCTTTAAATCAAAGTAGTGGTATAAGATCTACTAAATTTCCTTTTGGCTGAGTCATATGATCAGGAAAATAATTGACTAACATATCAAATAAACTGGTTCTTCTTTCAAACTTCTCATCATAATCTCCATCTAAATAAGAAATAAGATTGAAATAGATGTTGGTGCACATTTTTAGCCATAAATATTAGAAAAAAACATGCAGTAAATTGTAAACTACCAGCAATTTACAACAGAAATATTGAATTTCCAAATAAATAAGTATTTCTAAAAAAAAATGGAAAATAAAATTGTTTTTGAAGAAGTTATAACTAAATGAAGTCCATAAAACAGGGATTACTTCCTCAACTGACAAGGAAACGGTTTTATGATTGCTGGGACACACCACACCTTTAATGCCTTCTACAAAATCTAGAATGAATTCCAGAAATAGAGTTCCATTTATTAAAAGAATAAAAATTTCTTACCATCTCTCATATGTTCATCTTCACTTTCACTCTCTTTAAATAATGTAGATGCTAACAGCTGAAACTATATAGTCATAATAAATTTTATATTAAAGTTTTTTTTAAACCCCTAGACTGTCTCCTCTAGACTTCCGAAAAAAGTCCTGAGTCTGTCTTCATGAGCCAAATAAGGTATAGAATATGCTTTTGATCAAAGTCCAGGGTAGGAAACCTTACAATGTCAAGCATTAAGCTTCGATACTAAGGTATAGTCAGGAATTCCATGAACTGTTTTATATGAATTATATTTTATGTCCTTATGGTCATTTATGGAAATAGGTCATCAGAATACATTCTACCTCTTTTTCCTCCTCTTCATCATTATGATCAACTGTTTGTGCCAGTTGAACTTGTAAATAAACCATTGCCTCATGTGGATCTGTGACGGCCATTTCTTTAAACCGAAACTTTCGTATTAAATAACGACATTTTCTTAATAGGTGATTCGTTGATGGACGACATAACTGTAAAACGACAACATATTCCACTCATATCTCTGGCTACATAAATAACTCATTTCCATCCATCTACATGGAGAAAATAGGGGCTGCCCTTGCTTCCAAATTTCTTAGGCCATACAAAATAAATAGTCTGTTTTACAGGTCTTTTTTTTCAAAAATCGGGCAAGAGGGCAAATTTATTATTTATTATTTATAAGTGCTTTTTTAGATTTTCAACTGGAATAAATCAGAGCCAGCGAAAGCAATTATTATTTATTACCATTTATGTACATTTAATATTAAGGCAACAATCAGGCATTTTTGGGCCTGTAAAACAGACTATTTATTTTGTATGGCCTTATAAATGAGTTTTTGAATGCCTAATGTTGTAAGCATCTACCAATACTGATAAAATAGTTCCCTTAATTGAGGAATTTAACATATGCATGATTTTAACCTACCTTTAAAGACCAGAAATCATCTAATCTCATTTTAGGTAGGCTATCTTTACCTGGATTACCACCAAATAAATAATGTAACTACAATATAAAAATCAGGACTTTTTAGATAATTTATTAATAATGAATATGTGATTCTATTATGCAGATATATAGTTAAAACCATGCCCCTACATCAATATATAAAAGAGTGGTTCACTTATAAGAAAATCACAAATTAACATTATCTGCTGTGGTTCATGTTTGAAAGCATCTTCAAAAATCATAGATATCTCTGATTGACTCAAATTTACATTACATACCTTTATATACACAGGACATAATATACCTTGTAGATTCAACAGTTGAACAAAACTCTTACCTTGCGTACATGATCATACACTAACTGATGAGCAAATCTAGGTACTGGCTCTACATGCTGCATTTTTGTCCAATAATTCTGACCGGTATTTTCATTTTTATATATACATGACCTGCAATAAATTAAAGAATTCAACAATTGTTATTATGAGAAATAAAAGAATTGAGTTTCATGCAGAGTAAATAGTATGTTTTTTTTCATCCCATTCAAATCTCCAGATCCATCAATATCAATCGTAACCTACTGGGCAGGGGTCAATCAAAGTTTCTTAGGCACTGATTTTATTAAATTAGTCCAGATATTTAGAAAATTTCTAATTCTTTCAATCAGCACTAGTAAACCTAACGCTAATCTATATAAACAAACAGTATTTATAACTAGAACCATCAAAACTGAATTTAACTGCTAATCTAAGATTCGACATACGTGTCATGCAAATCAGTCATGCGTTAAAAATCGAAATGGTTGGTTTAAGAGGGTATGATTCCATATACGAGGAAGCAGTATTTGTCAAATGGTTTCCGTCATGCATCAATGCTGAGTGTAGCGATTTTTGACGCATACGGACGCCTCTCCTTTTGAGATCTCCCAAATGTGTCATATTTTGTGGGGATTCCCTGTCTTTTTTATGCACCAAACCATACATCTGTCTTGAAGTCGTGCGTCAAAAGAAAGATAACACATACGTTTAATGCACATATGGAATCATATTTGATGCATGACGGATCCGCAAAGGGCCATTTATGTCCATATTTTTCATTGCTTGTACATTGTTATTATCAGTCTTAAAACTTTTCATTCGAAATATCAATGAAATATATGAAAAAAAAAAACTCACCATTTATTTTTAGTAATATTATAAACCCAGAATGAGTTTTTAACATTATCTCTTTTATCCTTATCTCTACTTAATCCCTGAAACATAAAGCAGATTATAACTTTGTTTTTACCTCTTAAAATTAAAGAAAATAGTGAATACCATGCTCACAAACCAGAGTCAAGATGTCCAAAAAGCTCTGGTAGACAATATCATTTTTTACCGATATTTAAGCATATCACATGTTAAGCAATTAATGCTTAAATACCGCTTTATGACTATTCAATATCATTGTTTTGTAATAATTGTTTATATATAATGTCAAAACATGTACTGTGCTTTAACATAAATACTTATTAGACAGGAGAGATGAATCAATGATAATAAACTTACTGATAATACATGTATTTCATTTATATCAGGATCTAATGTTGCTCTTTGTGTAAAACCTAAAATACATGTAATATGAAAGATATAATTCTTGAAAAAATACATAAAAGTCTGAAATTGTAAAATTCTGGTCTTTTAATCTAATACTTGTACCTACAACTTTAAAGTATATTTCTGTGTGCAACTTATGTGAACAATTCCTTTAAAAGCATACCTGGTTGACATCCATCACTTTTTGTGTCCAAAATAGTATCAATAGACCCAGTATCCACATTATAAATTAAAAAATCATTGAGAAATTCACGAGATCTTTGACCAGCAAATATATACAAAACTCTTCTACCCTGAAAATAACAAAAACTATTCTTTATACATAGCCTATAGATAAGAGCTAATACTACAATACTTCTCAAATGTTTGAAATAAAATTGTTATATATTAACTTAAATAGTTACATTTGTCAAGCATACTTGCTACATGCTAAGGAGATAAACTATCCAAAAGCCTAAGTAATATAGTGATGGGGTGGGAACTCTATCATCAGACTGTACAATGGTTCCTTTTTTTTAGCTTAGGTCATCTGAAAGATAACCTACCTTGGTATTGTTTTAAAAGTGCAAATGACCTTACCGGATGAAACAACATAGAATGACCAATGCGAGAACGTAATTCTTTACAATCATCCATGAGTTTAGTCCAGGTACTAGTTGGAATATGATAGGTATATAGACCACTGAATACTGGTTCATGACTAGATCTTTCACTTTCACAACCAGTACTAAAATATATTATCAACATTGATAAACATCATTGAAGATAACAAAAGAATCAATTTTACTTGACACTCTTCAAATCATTGTCTATAAGATTTATTATTTTTAAAAGGACAGGTTTGCCATTTTGGATTGGTTAAACAAATAGCAAACCTATCCCTTTAAGACTTTTCTGTGTTTTTGTTCAATTCATATAATTGCATTAGCAGCTTAAGATTATCTGGTATTGCTTTTCAATGTTCAACAACTAGTTAATTATAAAGTTTTTCATTTCTATTACTTGCTGCTATTTTGAACAATTCCAAAATAAATTTTATAATCATTTCATTGTCACAACAGTCACTTTGATAAAGTTTTACATATATTTTGAAAATAACTGTCCATTACTCAAAGTCTTTTATGATGGGATTATTGGCCAGATTCATTCAGGGATTATTGTATCAGTCGCAAGATATACAATAAATCAAATATTTACCTAGACAAAATTCGACCACCAAATACAAAGATATTTTGTTTTTCAATATCTATAACCATCTGATGATCAAATATTAATTTGGGTCCACCAACAGATCCAGTATCTTCTGTTATTAATGTCCATTTACCAGAACCAATATCATACATATAAAAATCACACTGAAATTAATTTACATTTTTCATACTTCAATCAAATATAATATGACTCAAAAAGTCAGGGCTATTTTAGACTTCAGATGTTAGATTCCAAATAAAGGTTATTTCTAATATGCTACACCTAATGACCCAGGTACTCATATCTTAAGAAAAACACAGCTATCTGATTAATTAGCAAGAAAATTTAAATGCATTGGAACTGTGGTATATATATGGCATTGCAGACAATTCTAAATAAAAAACACCTTACTTTTAAATTTTCTGTAGCTCTCATTGATGCATCAAGATACCTTCCCAATGTAAAAATCTGTTTTCTTTCAAAATCTAAACACATTTTATGACAGGATCTAGCACTGGGACCACCCTATAAACAGATAAACTGGTGATGTAGAGATATCTGGTAACTCTAAGAACTGATATGGAGTGGTCAACTGAGTATTGTCAATAGCGTATTCAATGAACATCATTGTATGTTATAATTTTAACAAGAGAGGCAAGGTATGATCAGCCTTACAAAACTCTGATATCACTCTGCAACTGGGTCTGTTGACTAAACATCTCTTTCAGAGATTATTTGGTATGATTATCATTAAGATCTGCCTTGAAATAAATTCCTAATAATGGATTCTAAATGTTGACAATACAGTATAATTAAAGATGGTACCTCCTCTTCTGTATTTCGAGATAAACAAGTCCAACTTTTACTAGGTACATGATAGGCCCATAAATCAGCTAAATCTCTATTACCATCCCAACCACCATATAAATAGATAGTTTCTGTATGTATATCTATACACATCTGATGTCCACCTCTCATACCTGGCCGACGTTCATTTATCACTGAAAATAAGATAAATATTCATTGTCTGATTTTCTCTAAATCAATTCAATCATAGTTGTATAGTTCTCTTACAAATTTAATTTACAGTGTAAGGCACTGGCTAAGATCTAAAATAATGGATCATGCCCTTCATGTCCACATTGGCATGTGGTTGTGGGTGATAAAATCATTTCCATATTCTGACCAACAAATTATAGACAAATAGGTTGAAATCTTCATTAGCTAGAGCTTTTTGGTAATATATTTATCAAGGCGGTTAGTGACACACATGTCATGCTAAAATCTGTACATGCTATAGAATCCAAGAAATACGAATGGGCAGAAAACAGACACACATGTAGGCTTGAAAATATACTACTCAAAAACAAAGATCTCATAATAATATTCTAAAAAAATTAACTGAGATATTAAGCAAATCTATGAACCGTTAGACATTTACTTTAATGTGAAGAATACTTACCATTACTCTTACTAACTGGTTGAATTGCATTCCAAATTGGTACATAATCTTGTTGACTAACATATTGGTCAAATAAACCATCTAAAATACATACAAATATATAACTAGTCTATACAAAGTTAAAAAGATTACTGAGGTTGAATTTCAGCTAGCTGTAATTCTCTTTCAATGAAAATCTTGTATATAGATCTTCAATAATTAGGTAAATAAGAATCTCTCAGTAGGCCTAATATCTGTAAATATTATCACAAACTTTGTAATTTTTCATTGTTAACAAGCCAAACCATTTTATTATCTAGTTATATATAAACTTACCATTACATGCCTTTGATACAACCTCTTCACACCCATCATAATCTCCTTTACATACCTTCAAATATACAACAATATAATATGACATGGCTTACAGTCTCAGATTCATCTATAGTATTACATTGGAGTCTCAGTTATGTATAGTATTGTCTCAGTTATCTGTAGAATTACATTGGAGTCTTGGTTATCTATGGTATTACATTGGAGCCTCAGTAATTTGAGTATTACAATGGAGTTTCAGTTATCTTTAGTAGTCTCAGTTATATATCATATTAGTTTATTACATTGGAGTCTCAGTTATTTATAGTATGATAGGAAAAAAGATGTGTATTTTCAAAAAGAATAAAAGATAGTACTTACTAATAAATCATGTAATTCTGTTAATACTGGATGTTCTAACGATATTTTAGTTTTTTTCTGTAAAGCATCATATGCTTCTAAATATTGTCGTTGACGAAAATGTTTTAAACATAATCGTATTGCCTCTCGTTCTCGATACTGTAATAATCATACAAAATATACAAATAATAATATACAAAAAATAACAACTCATTGGTACATTTTTTAAATAAAGGGTACAGAGGCCTTATAGACTTTCCATCCAATTCTGTTCTTCCCATAATTTCAGTTCTAATAGCAGTTTCTTAAGTGTTTCTGATATATATACAAGGGCTAATAAACCAAGGCTTTATTCCAATATCTAGAACATAGTACTTACTGTGTGATACCAGTTCATACATGTTTTAACTGACTCCCAATCATTAATACCATTCAACTCTACATACCATATACTAAAATTAAAACTAGGACCCCATGCCTGAGTAGGAACTGAAATATATATAGAGCTGATTATATATATCATATAAGTCAGAGACAAAGAAACATGAAAATTTGCACTACCAACAGGTGGCTAGAACGTGTACTTACCCCAGCTACTAAAAACTATTTCAAATCTTTGATCTTTTCAATGAAAGAGTTGAGCTCCACCCTATCCATAATGTATTTTCCAAATGTACTTACCTATTTTGAGAAATCTACAGGGAAAATGGTGACTGTCTATCTGATTTCTTAATATAAATACTTCAGGTAGATGATCATTTTTCAAACCACTGAAAAGTATTGGCAAAATTCTTCATAAAAAGTCCAAAGTGTGCATCAGATCAGTTATCCCTTTAAATACTTGCTTAATTCACAGTCGTTGTACTAAAATAACCATCTGAATTTAAAGCCTAAATAAGAAAAAAGGTTCCATAAGTAAAATGAGTTTTTATAATCTTACCTTTCTAACAATTCAATCATATGTTCTTCAGTTAACCCACCATAAATCTTAAACTTCTTTAAATTACAGACATGTGTTTTCTCATATTTACCAAATGTAATACTTTCCACTATAGCTGGCTTGTCTAACTTTAAAATCAAAAACTGCAAACAAAATAGTTATTGTAGTGACAGGTCATATATGAAATATTATTAAAAACTCTACAAAAATGATCCAAATGTCACGAGAATGACTAAGTATTTCCACATCAAAATAGCAAATTGAAGTTATTTGTTCATCACTCCCAATTCTTGATGAGTGAAAATTATATAGCTTGCAAATGAGCTGATGAAACAATGGACATTCTATAGTATCAGTATCATTATGATGAGTTTTGACTACCATACCATAGCAACACTTTTGTTTAAAAAAGTTAATATACCAGTACATTTATTTAGACAAAGCTTAATATTTTACCTGTGGAGGGTTGTTGGAGTCTGAAGACCATCTTGAAGATTGATCATTTGGTTTGTCTGAGTAAATATTTCTGAAAATAAACAAAAAAGATGACAGTACCGGTATCTATAGTCATAACTTGGAATGTCAAATTAAAAGGATATTTGCTTCAAGTTACCATTTTAGGGGGTTGATTTAAGTGTTGAATATATATGTAAAAGTACTAGAAATGTAGGATAATTGAATAACTCCTTCAAAATAATCTAAAGTCAGGAATTTCTTTTCCTATTTCTATAGATATCTTTTCTTTATATATGGCATTGTCTCAAGAAAAGACAACTCATCTTTTTAATTTTCAAACACGTATAATTCTAGACACACATGGATTTGAAGACTTAAATTGCAACAGTGAGCTGAAATTACTATTACTGACTGGCTTTTCTGAGACTAAGGTACGATTGGACAAAAAAATTGGCGCAGCTGTCTCTTTAAATAGTTCTGAGCAAATATTAAGACCATTATATGCAAGGTCAGATTTATCTAGTTGGTATTATGAGTCAATCAATTAATTTTTCCAAAGAACAGTTCTTAAACCATCTTGATTCTTGTTCTACATTATAAGATTATATGAGATTTATTAAATAGAACTAGGCCTATGCAAAACAAAAATTTTTATGCTAAGATTCAAAATAACAATGATTAAAGGTTAGATCTATCAAATAATAAAGAAAATAACAATATTGAATTCAAGTGAAAATAACAATATTGAATTCAAGTGAAAATGAAATATGAAAATCGTTGCAGTTGCACTCCTCTGTTCAATTGCGTAACTGCGTAACTTACTCTGGAGGATAACTTTGTGAGTAGCTTGACCACTTTGTTATGGTGTACTTTAACTTTTCTGAATTACTCGACCTGCAAGCCATTCAAATTTTAAGCAAATAACTTAAATAAAATAGTTAAAACTCAAAATCAAAGTTTTGCGATTCTATAAATTATTTTAAAATTTCATCTGTCAAAACACTTTTGTTAACAGTAAACGAAAGATATAAAAAATCATTAAAAATGTCATTTTTTATGATATTCTAATTAAAAAATTGTCAATAGGCCTAGTTAGTAATAGTCTTTTTAGATTAAGGAAGTTTTAACTGTAAGAATTTTCCTTAAAATACCATAGTGTCGTTTCGTTTCTCTTTTTGATACTCCAGAACCGGGTGTCCATAAAATACCATCATAGCAAATCAAACATTAATATTCTTTCTGTATGTTTTTTGGATTGATCCATTCATACGAGGATATTCTATTCATTTCTTCATTTTATTATTTTTTTTTGTTCAAAATTTACTTGTCAGAGTGAAATAGTTTAAATTCAAAAATTATAAAACATTTTATTGGCCGCTCAAAACGGCTAGTCTGCTGTACACATCCACCGCTATTTATAACAGTCTGGATATTCTAGATTGAAGATTGTCAAGGGACGCAACTACTCTATCAAAACAACGTCCAAAGTTCAACTTCAAAAACTTTTTCCACATAATAATGCAAAATTGATCAATACAACAACTCTGAAAATGCTTAGAGTAGCATTATACAAACCATGTCCTCAAAGTTCTACACTTTTTTCTCAAGTATCTTCATTGGTATGCTAGATTTAAGAAGTTTCCACTTTCAAATCAGACTTTTAGCTATTTGATTTTCTGACTCCTGTTCAGACCTAGTAGAGCTGTGCTATGCGATTTCAGTTCACAACTACTGAACTTAAGTCAAAGTTTGAAATGTTCTTTATTTTCACATCTGATATTATTTCAAAGAGATGGAACTACCTGATTTTTTGACGTAGCGCAGTCCTATTTTCTGACTTCAAGTTATTGGGACACACAGTCAGTGCACACTTACCAACTTTTTATTGCAACTGGGGTGCCTTTATTGCCCACTTTAAGAACTGTCCTGAAAATATATCATCCAGATTGAAAATAAAGTTGCCCTTCTATGCTGCTTATTTCTTCTTTGTTGACGGTCCACTCACGTTCTTCTGGAATGGAAGATGAAAACAGTGAGTTTATGGATTCCACCATGTTGAAGCAAATATATGATACGTACATAAGATTTTATTGGTTGAACTTTAGGCTTGGTCACGACAAATTATCGCTTGCTGACAAGGCATTCGGGACATCTTTCGATCGAACATGCCTCCTTCAAAAAATCAGTAAGATTGTGCCTGCCTCTTAATGACAATATTGTATTTGTATACATGTCGATTTGTACCACAAACTAGACATAATTAAAGGCACAAACAATAACACTTTTACATTATTTATTTTGTATTTCATCTGTTCCTCAATTGAGTATATGACTGCAAATTTGTTAATTCTATATTTCAGGGGAAGAATAGTCGTGTATTAAATGCACACTGTTTAAATTCTCAACAATATAGGTAATGGTTGTAAACATTTAATAATTTTATTATCAGTGCCAATAAAAATACCATTGAATCAAATATTTTTATTAGTATTATTATTATTAGATAGTACATGATAAATGTAGACTAGAACAACTAATTTGAATTAATTTTAGTAACATTTTATGAAGGTCATCAAAGTCTAATATTGTCTAATTCTGTTTGTTTTGTAATTTAAGGTAAAAACCTGAAAACTGATTTTCTACAAATTTGCTATTTCCCTCTGAAAGTTTTATGCTTCTTTTCAGTACCACGAATACTTCAAACCGTGGAACAGAAGAACGAGAATACTTGGAGAGAAATAAAGTTCCAACTTATCATTTCCAGAAAAGTTTACCAAGACTTCCAGTGCCAACTTTAGAAAATACTTGTAAAAGATATCTGGCATCTCAACGTCCATTACTAAATGATGAAGATTTTAGTAAAACAGAAAAAATTGTTCAAGAGTTTGGGAATGGTGCTGGTAAAAGTAAGAACAATTTTTAAAATTTAATTTCAAAGTGACAAGTAGTAAACTTATTCTATGACTTTTTCTTTTTGACATATTAAGCTTATATAAGTTTGTAAAGAAGTTAATTGCACTACTTGTATGTGTTGGAAAATGTTATTTTTAAGATTTTGTATTGTGTTATATAATTGTACCTTAGTTTGCATCTTAAATAAGCTTATTCTTGGACCTTTTTTTAAGAATAATTTGGATAGTTGGTTCTTTGTTCTGTGTAAAATAATATATAATAGTAATAAAATATTTCTGGTGAATTGTTATTTTCAGCTTTACAAGAAGAATTAATTGCTACTGATAAGAAAAATAAACACACTAATTATGTTTCAGGTAAGTTTTTAAAATTTTAAGTTTTGAATTTGATCAAGAAAATGTGTTCCACCACTCTTCAGTTATATTGACTGGTAATAGAGTTGAAAGGAATTATGAGAAAGTCTAGACATCAATCCAATGTCAAGTTGTGTGACCAATATAGGTGTTGTAAAGAGGTATTGGGGACACTTATCTTAGTTTTAAAGGAATCACACGAATGGTGAATGGTGAAATACTATGCTAACAGAGTATACACATAAAAGGTTTGTAAAAATCTTTAAAATTTGTTAAGTCTTGATATAACTGTGATATAACCATCATTTTGCTCTTACAATTATGTATTTTTCTAAAATATGTTAACAGGATAAGACATGATGTGATGTACAGTAACATATATATATATATATGTGATATTTTCTAGATGCATGGTTTGATATGTATCTACGTGATAGAAGACCAGTGGTATTAAATCATAATCCATTTATGGTATTTAATGATGAGACCAGACCAGAATACAATACACAGGTAAAAGTAACCTATCAGTGGATTTATTTCTTTATGTTACAATATTAATGATAAGTTCCAAGTATCAAACAGATGGAATTTTTTGCAAAATTTGCTTTGAAAGGAAAGGTATTTTCTTACTTTTTCAGTAGTAACTTTTTCCATTTGAAATTGATAATGAACTGGCATATTTATTATTTACACTTACCTACTACTCCCATCAGAAAATTTATATCGTTTTCTTTTTTTTTGTAGTTGGTTAGAGCTACTAATATGGTGGTATCTTCTATTAGGTTTATGAAGACATTGAAAGCTGAAATTTTGGGCCCTGAAATATTTCACATGAATCCTGCCAAGAGTGATACTGCAAGTTTTCGTAATTTTGTAAGGTAAATCACAAAGTTTTTATTACCTCATGTGTAATAAAGGAAAAATTGGCCACAAAAAAATAACAATGATCTGTCTATTATCTGTCTCGAGTCTTTCTTATGCCATTGGAGAATTGTGTGAAACAAATTAATAAATTCTGTCAATCAAAATTGAACATAGTTTACCAAAAGTTCAACACAAAAGTACACTTTTGTTGAAATGAATCATCTCCAATACATTTATTATTTGATTATTTTAGACTCTTACCAGAAGCTGTGGCATTCTATGGAGCCTACTGGTATAAAGCATTTCCTCTTGACATGAGTCAATTTAAACGTTTATTCTGTTCAACTCGTATACCAAGACATGACAAAGATGAACTCTACAGTAAACCTGATTCTAAACATTTAGTTACATTTCGAAATGGAAATATGTATTTATTTGATGTCCTTGATAGAGATGGTAAGTGCCATATTTTGTGGGATGAACAATGTTTGTGGTGTATTTAAGCCATGGGCAAGAATGACATAGGACCTATTAGGAGCAAAAAGGGGATATTTATTACTTAAAGTATGGTACAACCATTTGCTGAGTTCACTTTATTGCTGGAAGTCACAGTGATTTTTCTATTTATATAAACAATATTTTATTCAATAACTGAAAGGGATTGGGAGACAGGCTTATTGTAGCCTATTTCATTCCATTTAAGTCATTTTGAATTTTACATGAATATCGGAATCAAGAATCTAGTTTAGTAGAAAAGAAGAAATCTATAGCCAATAGCCATGTCAAATTTCAAATGCCTTTTGAATTATAGGTAACATTGTGTCTGCCAGTGAGATTATGTCTCATATTAAATTTATACTGGATGACACAACACCTAGACCAGATCATCCTGTCAGTATTTTAACCACAGAAAACAGAGACATATGGGCTACAGTTAGAACACAACTTATAAATGCAGGTTTGTAGAATTATATGTAATAAGTAGCATTAGAACTAGTGGCTAGTGTTATGTTTACATTAATATTATATTTGTGATATTCAGGCAATGAAGTAAGAACTAGTGGCTAGTGCTATGTTTATATTAATATTATATTTGTGATATTCAGGTAATGAAGTAGCATTAGAACTAGTAGATAGTGCTATGTTTACATTAATATTATATTTGTGATATTCAGGTAATGAAGTAGCATTAGAACTAGTAGATAGTGCTATGTTTACATTAATATTATATTTGTGATATTCAGGTAATGAAGTAGCATTAGAACCAATAGATAGTGCTATGTTTACATTGGTATTATATTTGTGAAATTCAGGTAATGAAGTAGCATTAGAACTAGTGGACAGTGCTGTGTTTACATTATTATTATATTTATGATATTCAGATAATGAAGTAGCATTAGAATTAGTGGATAGTGCTGTGTTTACATTAATATTATATTTGTGAAATTCAGGTAATGAAGTAGCATTAGAACTAGTAGATAGTGCTATGTTTACATTAATATTATATTTGTGATCTTCAGGTAATGAAGTAGCATTAGAACTAGTGGATAGTGCTGTGTTTACATTAATATTAGATGATGATAAGCCAACAGATCCAAATGCAGTTTCCAGGTCCTTCTTGCATGGTGATGGCATAAATAGGTATGTTTACACAGAGACTTTTTTTGGAATTTCATTACTTGTGTAAAATATTTGGCAGGAAAACCAATTTGAAAAAAAAGTGTACTATTTTGACTTTGTAGGGAATTTGCTGAATTTCTCTATAAGAATGCAATCTATTAAACTTGCTGTGAATGTGGTGAATGTAATCTTATTAACTAATGATGTTTATTTACAGATGGTTTGATAAGAGTTTTAGTTTAATAATAAATAAAGCTGGTACAGCAGCTGTAAATTTTGAACATTCCTGGGGAGATGGTGTAGCTGTTTTAAGATATTTTAAAGAAGTCTTCAAGGATTCAATTCAAAAGCCTAAAGTGAACAAAAATACTATACCATCTAATATAGATTCTTCTAAAAGTGTCCAGAAATTAGGTTTGTAGAATAATTTCTTGTATATGTTCTTAACCACTATTTGTGGACATGGAATTACTGAATTATGATAAATATTAGACTAGTTATCCTTGTTTTCTATTTTATTTGAAAAAATGTTACAAAAATCTGTTTTTAGTAAACTAAGAAAACAAAAATTCAAACAACATAAAAAGTCAATTTAAAAGCTTATTTTGCTTAAGGTGTTTACCAAGACATGAACAATTTCCAAAATATGTATTTATGTAAGCTTACATATTATATTCATACTCAAATTTTGTGTTAATGATAATTATTTTCTCTCAAAGTGTATCCAGTTAGTGCATTTTCTATCAAGATTACTCTGAGATTGTAACTCTAAGCTGTTTAACTACTACTAAATTGACAATGATGTATTTTTTATGTAGACTTCAGATTAGATGGTAACAGCAAGAAGAGTATAGATGAGGCCAAAAAGAAATTTGATGAAAAAATCAACACATTAGATTTACACCATTTAGAATATAAGAAATTTACTAAAAAGTTTATTAAAGAGAAGAAATTAGGTCCAGATTCTGTTTTACAGTTAGCTATACAGGTGAGCTTATTTAATCATTTCAATCTTAGGCAGCCTATAATATTTATTCATATCAGGGATCACATTCAAAATAAGTCAACTCATATCAATTTTTAATTTCCTATTCAAAGAATTGTTATAATGCAGAAATGGAAATTTAACAGTATTTCTAAAAATTTATATTTGGTGATAATTTGGTTTTGTGAATAAGGTTTCTAGGTTATGTCAGAATGTAGACAGAACAAGCAAATTGTACAAATCATGTCAGACCTACTCTGTGCTTCCATAACCAGTGCCTTTGAGTGTCTGCTCAGTATGGATGGTCTCACCCTTCAAACATAGGCCTACCATCTTAAAAATTAACATCATTAAGCGGAAGTGTAGAAATAAGTCTAAAATCTCTAGAAAGTTTTTCATATTGAAAACGAACCTGTCAACTTGTCAGATGCGCTCTCCCACTATATATATGATATTTTTGTTTAATTCTAGATGACCTATTATCGTATGTTTGGTAAAACAGTAGGAACCTATGAATCTTGTAGTACATCAGCATTTAAACATGGTAGAACTGAGACAGTTAGACCCTGTACCACGGCTACTTTACATGTCTGTGATTTATTATTCAACCCTAGATCATCTTATACTGTAGAAGAACTACAAGCTGCTCTAAAAGAATGCTCTAAAATTCATTTTGAATTGACTAAAAATGCTGCTATGGGTAAGATGTGTTTTATTAGATATTATATAATTTGTGAGAAAAGGCTTGGTGTTAACATGATGTATATGTACTTCTCTAAAGCTAGGAGCACACATGCATATTTTTTTTTAACTAAATTCTAATGAATTTTAAATTCACTCCAAAATATTCACCCGAAAAACATCTGCAACAAAACATGTTACATATTTTTGGATGATTATTCATGCCAGGGGATCCATTCACTTACAAATGAGCTCTTCTGTGATCTGTCCAGCATATTTTGTTGAGTAATCAATTTATTTAACCAATCGGATGTGATGTTTAAAATCTGATTACGCTAGTATAGATTTCTTACATGTCTACAAACATGAAGAATTCGAAGATAATCAGGCAAAAAATACATTTTTCTGCCCCTAGCATAGCTACCAGTAAAAATTTTACTCCCAACCTTAATGACCTGTTATTGTTTTTTTATAGATAAATGGTTCTTATTTCAGGTCAAGGCTGGGATCGTCATCTGATGACATTGAAGAGAATGTCAGAATCACATGGTCAATCATTAGACATATTTACTGATCCAGCTTATAAATATATTAATCATATAATATTATCTACTTCCACACTATCTGATCCTAGTGTTTTAATTGGTGGTTTTGCTCCAGTTGTACCTGATGGTTATGGTATAGGTGAGTGTAATATATTGTGATCTTAAAGGGATTTTAAATAAGTTTTCTAGACTGATAGTATTGGTAAACATCATTCCAATTTACAATAACAGAAGATTTGCAATTCTTCTTAAACTAAGCGTTTTATGACATCACTATTGTAAAAGCTGTTAATACATCTAAGTACTTTTGCAACAGTGAATGTTATAAAACAATTATCACAGATGTCTGACTGAAAATTTGTAATGGTGCAAATCAATTCTATCAGTGTCTCTAGTACACAATACTTCTATTTCCCCTCTTTTGATCATAGTCCAGTATATCCAGGTCATTACAAGACATGCATTTTATTCAATAGATGTATAAGTGACAATGAAATGTGATATACAGGTATTTTGTAAATCCCCCGAACATTGGTAAAGTCTCAAAATAACAGGTCTGACAGAAAGTTAGCAGATGAAAAAACAAGGCAGCGAGATTAGGACAAACATTTACTGTAAACAAGATGTTGTTTGTATTTCAGGTTATTCTGTAGAAGATAATCGTCTAGGTTTCAATGTAACAAGTTATCAAGATAAAAGTGTCCATGATTTTATTGAGAATGCTAGTAAATCATTGGATGATATATATAACATATTACAAGGACAGAAACCAGTCAGATTATGATGATGGACGAGAAATAGAACTTCAGACACTGGTGCATAACATAAGTTTATTAATGTCGTTGAAGAGACAATTTTGTCCACTCCTGAAATTCCAAGCTACAATTATGTGTATAAAACCAGTATAAATCCTTACGTTTAAGTAATGAAAAATGACGAATGGTAAAGTAATGATGGCTTCAGATTCAATGTTTTTGTTTTTTTGGCATTTGTGTTATTTATATTTTTGAGGTTATAAAATGTTAAACAGTCTTTTCATTTATATTTTCAATAGCCACTCAAAGGACATACTCATCTAAATAAATAGGACTTGGGTTGGCTTGTTATGATAATATAGATCTGGAAAACTGGCATTACTTCCATTGTTTTATGGTTGAAGAGCGGATCATCATATTTCATGTCTGAAAAGTTATACATGCTACAAATCTCACAATAAATGCTATGAGTACTTTTCAAACATGAGAAATAATGATAAGCTGCAATTTGTCAATTATGTAAACAAGCGTGTAATTAAATCTATATTAAATTGACTGAAAACTTGACATTGACTTTTGGAAGTATAATCTATTTCATTACTGTCTTCATCAAGTTATTTTTTCGTTGATTATATACTAATCCCATCTGGACCCCTGGACGTGCAAAATATCTGCAGCATAAGGTAGTGCTTACGGATATAGTTTGAAGTGATTCATATTACAAAGGATTTCAAATAAAAGTAGATGTGGTGAATTTTATTATAAATGATTATACATGATTGGAATTTCATAATTAAATAAACATAATCAGGTAAATAACATATACATCTACAACTTTGATTAAATAAATGCAATACACACATCATTGTATACACACACTATTACACTTGCAGAGTTAACATATTTCCAATGACAAAATTAGCATATTATGGAAATGCCATGGGCTTTATTGCAAATTAACACGCATTAGGTAAAGAGCAATTCCGACAATTGCAAGTATGCAACTTTTAGAAACTCGAATCAACAGTAATGTTAACACCAACATTCAACTGACATTAGAACTACTAGGAGGTATTAGTCTTCATTGATGATGGAAAAAGCTACGTCATTCATTCAATTTCTACAGACAACATCTAACTCATTATACATATAGTTATTTTTAAATGCATCTTCATATAAATATGAGCACTAGTAATTGATACTATGAAAAAGATCTATGATGTTATTATAACATGTTAAGGTTTTAAAACAATTAATATACACTTTATTACCAATAATAGTGAAATTTTGTCCATATGCAAGATTCTTTTTACTTCGAGCATATTTAGCTGCAAATGAGATATATTATATTATATTATATTATAGGAAATTTACATCTAAATAATGATGAACAAATGAAATGATGTAGGTTTGAAAATATAATGCCCACAGACAATAATACCAGAAAGAATACATTCATACATGGATTCCCATAGTTTAGTAAACAATCATTAATAAAATGGCACATCAAGATGCTCCCTAAAAAAATCTATAAATATTGATTTACTTCACAAAAAAAATGTTAAACCAATCAACTGCTTTGTATAACGCATGTAAGCAATTCTGGGATTTATATTTTCAAAAATCTTATAATTTTCCTTATGGCAACCTCTGGTCTAAATTCCGAAAAAGACATAATGAAATAATTTTGATCTGCATTTTCTATCATGAATTACACAATACCTGAATATTACTGAACAGTCAAACTATTTTCACTATGTTAATAACACCAACTTAATTCAAATGATCACTGGTATTTTCCGAGAAAAATGTGAAAAAATATTATACTAATGATCTAAGATAATTAAAAAGATTTATTTCCATGCTCTAGATAATGCTCTTTTAGCTGCTAATTTTTGAGTTAAGAAAGAAACTAATATCATAATACATAATATAGATCCAATTAACGCATAATCAAAGTCTTCTTTTAAAACATCAAACATTTTAGATGGCATTACTCTGGTAAAAAATAAATCTGAAAAAAAAGACAAAAAAAATGATGAATTTCGAGTTTCATTTAGCAGTTTGTATTGTTAATACATATTTTCTTTTTTTTTTGTACATTATACCATGATAAAACCTGGATATCAATAATCTGATGTGTAATATCCATGTTGTTTTTTGTTTGTTGAATATTAAAATATCTGACTACTTGTAAGGACTACATCAATAATACTTCTAATCTGGGAGCCAGTTCAAAGAATGTAGGATACCTATGATATCCACTCAGCTACAAAATAGCATATACTAATTACTCTGCAATTTGATCATTGATTGCCAATTACATCTGTGTGGAGGGGAATACCAAATCGTAAGACTAACGGTTAAATTAAGAAAATTAACATTCCATTTCCAGTAAAAAGCCTTCAGATATTAACAGCCTCTTATGGTGAGGTTCCAACTCAAACAACAACCCTTGATATCTATATTTGCAGAATAAAACAGCTTACCTAGACCATAAGTAAAGATAAGAGATGTAGACTCTAAACCAGCTGGTCCAGTATAAATACCATCTACTCTATATAATGTTTTATTATAATTTAATATAGCTTCATTATGTATTGGTATTTCAGGTATATATGGTATAACACCTTCTTCCCTAGATAATAGATTGTTAAAACTATAAACCATACAATCATAATAATTATACACATATATCAACATTTTATACTAAACCATAAAAACCTTATGATGTATAACATGCCTTGAAGTTTGAGTATTTTTGGGCTAAAAGATGAAGGCATGATAGCTATATAGTCATTTTACACCATCTACACTCAGATCAAATGAAATCACAACTAAAAATGCAAAATTTCTTAGTAAAAGAGTCGAACTGTACACCCCAAAAAAACAGAAAAGTTGATTTCAGACAAAATTTGAATATGTATTATGGTGTATTTTACTACCTACAATCTTTTTCACAATGAATGTAGTAATAATAACACACTGCAAAACTCATTGGCCCATGTGTATTGTGGCAATCACTACTTCCGCACTTAATGTCAAATGGTCCCAGGTCAAATTGGATTTTTTGTTGAACTGGTAAGAGGTGAGTTTAGGAGTTTTTGGCCTATACCAATTACCGCTAGAAAAATAAATAACAAAGGTACACAAACCATATGGTTAGCTAATGAAAGAACTTAAACTTACATTGATTCTTGTGAAGGCATAGCAGGTCTTCTAGGATCTAATAATGCTTTAGGTAGAGATAATAATCCTCCAAATTTTAATGCAACTGTAAAGAGACAGAATATAAACTTTGATCTTTTCATTGTATAAACAAAGAGGCACCACATCCCAAACAGAACTAAATTGTATTCATATTATAATTGTGTCAACACAGAATTACCACGCATTATTGACATTAATTGACACCAGCAATAGCAGACTTTCCAAAGTTAAGACGAGCACCAAACTTTTAATATATCAATACTTACTAATAATATTTTTATTAGTTAAACCTTTCTCAGTAACAGTAGTTGACATGGAATATAAAGGAGATGAGAAGATATAAGATTGACGAAGTACTAATGGTTGTGGTGGTGGAGAAAGAGAAGAGAAGGCAGTAGAATTACTCTGTTCCTTTCCTTCATACATCTCTAATACAGCTAATTCATGTCGTCTATGTTTCTCACTAAAGTAAGAGTACTGAAAAACACAAATAATACCTGTTTTACGAAAACTTTTGGCTAAAATGAACAAAGTTATCTTTAGTCTATTACTAGAACTAATGAAGATTATTCTATATATGGTAAATAGAATGTCCAGAACCTGTTGCACTTTAAACTTATGTTACATAGTATATGAAGCACAACAGAATAAATCTAGAGTTAGGCTCATGTGACGTAATACAGCAATAGCTAATGGGTCTGACACTTACTATTCAGAGAGATGAACATGATGAAACATGGTTGATTGAGGATTTGTTAACATGATCAATTTGACTCGACATTCCTCCATCAAATCTAGCTCAACAACAGGAGTAAATATATCATATACTAACCACAAGCCAGTTTTCAGAATGTACTGTATTAATAGGTCCTTTAGCTCTCTTATGATTAACATGAAATACAATATGGCCTGTTACACCATCAATTAAATAGATGTTAAAAAACCCTGTAACTATAAAATATTCGAATATTATATTATTATTAGGCTGGATATACTTCAATCAGTTATCTCTCTTTATAAATGTCAAAGAAGCTCAATATAAATGTAACCTTGGTTTCCGACAAGGACTAATGGTAGATTCAGACAATGCAGACAACTCTCTCAACTCTGCCAATACAGCTTAACAACGAATGCAAACGTAGCCTGTAATCTAAGCTTTATCATGAAATGAAAATTTTCAAAATCAGTGTGCAAAAAACCAACCTTTATGATTTCCTGGAGAAGGTGGTTCTTCACCTTCAGCTACAACAGCTAATAAATTAGGATTAAGATATTTATAGAGTACACTTCTATCACCTAATACACGACCCTGAGAATGGACATGTTCTATAGCTCTTTTACCAACTACCTGTCTTATAGTCTGTTGATTTTTATTTAGATTTACATTCCATACTGCTTCAGCCATTAATCCCTGCAAATAACATACAACCATAGATATTACACTTTCAAATGTGTAAGCTCATAGCATATAAACTATTGAGAAAACCACTGGATGCCACTCTAAGTCTGGGTCACTCCACTTCGGGACCCTTCATATAATCCACACAGCTAATGAATAATACACATTAGGTATTGTAAGGAACATATTACAGTACCTGATTAAGAACACATGATTCAGTGTATTACTGTTATGGTATATTGGTCAATAGATGCACCATTATACTTCATGCCACAATACGTGTATCATATGGCATGGCTGTGTATCGATACTTAACACACTAGACATATAACATATAACTAGGCCTATATGTGATACAAATGCATCATAAGTTTCATCCGGTAAATTCCTGGCAACACTAGAGCCTATTGACAATACCAGTAATATAATTTCTCTGATAGGAAAATATACAGTAGTTAAAAACATTGAAAATATTACTCATCATTGTATTGTAGCTCTAATATCCAATAAAGCACTAATCCTGATGTTAATTAATGTAAGTGATTAATTGAATGTAATGATTACCTGATTTTTAGTATTGATAATTCTATAACCAGTAATAATATTAGTATTTAAATCTGTCAGGTGAAGATAGAGTTTAGGTAGTGATGTTTGTATAACTGGTCCAATACTTTCTGGGTATAGATGAATCTAGAATTAAAAAAAACACATAACAATAATAGATGCATTGTTATTCATCCAAGCAGGGGAGGTTCTTGTTCTGTCTTGAGAGCTTAAAGATCATGAAAGTGACTAAATACTGCATTGTGCCTCTGAAATCACAATGTTCTTGACCTCCCATACATACATGGACATCATTTACATAATTAGAAATAACTGCATGTAAATCTGTAAATCAGACATTTTAAACAGGTATGCTTCTTTTAATTGGAGAAAACTGAGACAGATTCTAAAACATGTATTGGAAAGTGATATGAATAGCTGTAATTGTACTAGTAAAGCTGACAACTGCATCATAACAAAGCATATTTATAACGAATAGATGCCATGGCTATTTTCAGGCATATAAAATAGAAATTACCTTTTTGTCATTATCCATTAAGAGAATACCTTTCAGAAAGTTAGAATCTATGTGATTTAATAAGGATACTTGTAAAACTTTATAGCCTAGATCTAAACCATGACTTGGTGTATCTTTTATTACAGTTCCTAAAGTAGGATTGATGGTAAATAACATCCCATTTCCAGTTCTCTAAAATATATAATTATAACAATATATAAAATTGCATTGCTTTAATATGACTGAAGGTTTTATCAATTTAAGACATTTTTGAAGTCAAAAATTCAAATTGGAAATATATTTCCTGTATTTGCATTATTGACAAAGATTAACATACTGACAGTGATATCATTCATTTGCACCATTCCAATCTTCAGTTAGACATCCGTGGGTCTTGCAATTCCACTTAAATCAGGCGTTTGATTTAGTCACTTTACATTATATAAGACCCTTTGCGATTGTGAAGCTAAGTTTTAGTGAAACTACATAGGTTTGGTTGAATTAAAATTGGAATGGTAAAAATCTCTGCTAACGGTGTCTCCACATAAAAAGTTTAGAAAACCTTTTTACAATCCCTTTAACTCATGAATTTGTACATTTATGAGTTATTATCAAGTAAGTTTCAATAAGCTATTCTGCCAGAGGACCACTATACCATTAAGTATGTTCCAAACTTTAAACTTACCTTATTTTTACCAATAATAGCACACTGAGGTGGATGGGGGAAATGAGCTGTAGTTCTCTGTATCAGTAATAACATTGACAGCTCACCAAATTTATTATAAGGTACTAAATCAGATAAATAATGCTGCCATACAATCTTTCCAGTATGACTTCTAATACCAAATATCTACAATTTATATTAAAACATTTACAGCAAACATATTGTACAATTTACACAAACGTACTGTACAATTAACACAAACATATTGTACAATTTACACAAATGTACTGTACAATTAACATAAACATATTGTACAAATTACACAAAACGTACTGTACAATTTCCATAAAGATATTGCACAATTTCATGAAGATATTACACAAACATATCAATGTGCAATTTACACAAACATACTGCTTAAATTACACAAATATTTCTTTGTACAATTTACACAAACATCAGTTAAATTCGCTATAATTTACACAAGCCATATGTACACAATTTACTCACATGTACTGTACAATTATACAGTATTTCCTCTAAAAGACTGTACAATTTACACAAATATTTTTTACAATTTGCAAAGAAGCATCATTATTATAAGTTATCCTCTGCTTAATCTGTGATAAAGTGACGTATGTTAAAATATGTCCTACCTTGCCAGGTTTAGTAACAGCTACAATGACTTTATGAAGATTAAATTCATCTCTAATCATATCTTCTTCCTCTTCTATTTCATCTTCTTCTTGATCAATATCTTCATCACTGAGAGTAGGGGCAGGGTGTCGTAAACCTTGTAACTTCTCCACCATCTTGATTACAAATAACTATAATTGACAATATTCTAAATTATTCACTTCCTTTCACAATGCAATTGAGGTGCTCAAAGAAAAAATCCTGATATCCAATAAAACGTTTTAACAGAGATAGCTGCATATAAAAAATATCACAAAGCTACCTTGTTTCTACATAAGTACTGTACATATGAAAATAATGATATTCGAGCTATACGTGCAAAAATCTGTCTCAGTTTTAGTGTTTATCTTATGATTATGTGTTTTTTACTTACCTTGAGTTGTGATAATTGTGCTCTCAGTCTCTTTATAAACATAACAAATATTTCTGCAAATAATACAAACAAATTCCATTGCCAAGACAAAACACAAATAAATTATATAACCAAATTAACCTTTTTAAGCAACAGACATCATGCTATTATACCAAATATATTTCTTACTGAGTGATCCTTAAAGTCATGAATTTTTCCCATACCTCTATGCTAGAGACGCCCAAGTTGTGATAAACCATCAGTAAGTGTGCAGGTCAAGATAATGATACTTTTAGTAAAGTATAGTCTCATTTTTGTCTTATTATAGGGAATAGTTTTATTGAAGGTAAAAGCTTACCATCATTAGATCCAAATTCATCTTCAAATTTAGCCTGATTTTCTGAGACTGGTAGATCCACCATTTCTAGAGCTAATATATAGGCTAATGCTTCTTCTCTTCTCCACGATACTCGACCTGGTATTCAAAGTAAAATTGTTGCATAATAAGACACAATGGCAAAAAATCCTTCAGTTTAAAAGTAACAGCTGACAGCCATGTCCACCATATCCAAGTATTATAAAATATAATTTCAAAAACCAGTTTAAAAAATATATCCAATAATGGCTATTTTTAACAAAAGTATTGTACCACAAGGGTTTAATGTTACTCACCTGCCTTCTGTACAACTTGTAAAGCATAATCTTCAGATAATATAGCTATTTTACATCCTATTCTAGAATCTCTTCTCTTAGTAAATATCAGACTACTGACCTATTATAAAATACAAATTAATCAAAATACAATCAATATTCTAAACAATGGAGGAATTTACTAACAACTTTGAGAAAAAAAAACTGATATAAGTACAGTTGATGGTTCATTTGTGTATTTGCCATTTGGAGCCAGTTATTTAAGAAATTTAAATTTTTTTCTAAATATTTTGCACAACAGACAGTTGTCCTCAACTAAAAATATTAACTTGTAAAAGAGCGCACTTTTTTATCAAATGTAATGCAATTGAAAATCATATAGAAACATATCTTTAATATCATTTTTAACACTCAAAAAAGCTTTAAGGTAAGCAAAATAGTTATGAGAATAATTTTTTATTACCCGTACCTTCTTAGGCAGTCCATGAGAATTAGCAAAAGGTATTTTCTGACTAAGATCTGTATTTTCTTGTCCTGTTTTTATATCATATCCAGATATAGTTACCATAGGCTGAAATAAAACAAAGAACATTTACACTACTTTATAAGTACGATGAGAATAGGATAGAGAATAAATTAGTATGAAATCATATGTGACTGTTGTTTTCTAGCTGGTAAACTGGTCTACAACACAATTTCACTCTAGTTTGAAAATCATAAATTGTGTGATCGCTATTGATTTTTTTCCCAGTCAAACAATTTTCAAGCAAGGTTTAAAAGGTTACAAGACACTACTCTATTGGCAAATATGGTCAAATCAACCTCCCCAAGATGGACTTTAAAGTATAAAAGTTTCACAGACAATGCAGAGATCATCTATAACTCCCTCCCTGCTTAATTCAAGATTTGTAATTTACCTCAGTTGTTGATTTTTGTAAAGCTACTATCAATGTTTTATCTTCATGTTCAACTATTTCTGCTGCAGATACCTGTAAATATACAACCAGATTGAGAGTTCTGAGGATATTGTATACTATGGACATTTCAAACAAGCCAAGCAAATCATCCACTTACTTACCAATCAAATTTTCAGTATATCAAGGACTGTAGCTCTGAAAAGATTTGTTGTATTGTGCTCCAATTTGAACACATCAGACATATTGTTTATATTGCTACACACTAATTTTGATAAAAAATCTGAAAACTGCTGTTGCCTTTATTGTGTTCCCAAGCCATTTTAAATATATCTTTAGTATATAAAGGGTTGAAACTTCTTCAATAATTGTTGAATCCTACCAGAACAAGATTTCATAATTCATTAACTTTCCAAACAAGTTTAGGACTATTTCTGAAGAATTAAATGTAGTCAATGTATATAATCAAGTAGAGACTAAAAATAGGTAGAATTGTATGTTGTAATTCGAATCAAATTCACTTACTTTTGGCATATCTTTAATAATTTTTACTTTTCCACCATCAATTGTTAAAACAACTAAATGATCTTTAGATATACGTAATATACATTCTTTTTCAAACCCTGTTATACCATTTAAAGGGGTTTCTAAACTGGTTTCTGTTGTAGCTTCAAAGCCCAAGTCCTTAAATAATACCAGATATAACCATTATTAAAATAATTTGGTGACAGATTAGCTTGGTCACGGATTAACATAAGCTACAACTTGTCGCCGAAACCCTATTTATATTGTGTAAAATTATATAATAGAAATAAAATACTGTTTAAATCATTAAAATAATTTACATGGTTGTTCTAACATGTACTGAAAATTACAACCATTTCATCTACTTTGCAAAATTTTCTCATGGCAACGAACATTTTAGCCGAAAATAGTGCAGATCAAGAACAAAAGTAACTTTTTATGTCTCTTTATAAGCTCTTTAATTTGATGTTATAATTTTATGGGATGAAATAATCCGCTAAAATTGAGCAACAATAAACTGAAATGATAACTGTTCATTTATATATATTTAACAGAGCATTGTCCTTGGTATGGAGTAGTGGTTAATTTTTTTAGAGTTTTACTTCTATTGTCTGACTAAATGCTTACCCTTAAAGAAGTGGTAATAAAACTATTTCCATCTCGTAGACCAACATGTTGAATAGCTTGTTTTGATGGTACATAACATACCAGTTGACTTCCTTTTAATATCATACAGCTAAATTAAACAGAAAATAATCATTATAAATATAAATTTTTTAAATTTCTATAGGTCAAAAAAAAAGTGAATGATTATGATGTAATAGAAAACTTAATTTAACAAATTGAAAAAAAACATAAAATGAGGTTAAATATTCATTTTATGAGCATTTTTATAAATATAACTATCGAAAGCCACTGTCAGTTGTAGTGACGGATGTTATATAATAATTACAGAAAAAATAGAAGAAGTGAATAAAAGTGGTAGTTGTCTTGACAAGGTACTGATAATCCTGCACCAAACACCATATGCTAACTCGTCTATTTGCAATATCAACAAAACCAACTCAAATTCTGTATAATAGATCATTACGTAGAAGATATTCAAAACTCATATCTTTCACTTACCTGACGTCATCTGAAACCCATGGAGCATGGACAGATCGTTCAGACACAAGGCTGCCATCTTGATTTATAGCTGCTATGGTTACCTCAGCATTACGAGATAAACCTACGGCCATGTAGTTATCATCTTCTGTTACAGCCAGTAACCATCTATTAATTGTATTACTGGAATTACAAATACTTCCAGATGAATTGACAACAAAACAATAATGAATTTTTTTTAGGAATAACTAACTATTGCTTTCAGGTTCTTGCAGATCTGTTCTATTAAAAAACTAAAAAAAACTATCAGGACTGTATAGAAATCCCTGTCTGTTGCTGTCAAGTTAACAATAATTAAGTTGTAGATTTGTAGAGTGTCACATGACCTTTCAAAATATGTAAATTATAATACCCACCTCTTTGGTAGATTAGTTTGCCATAATTTCTTTCCATCATTTGTTTTGATATTATACAAACCATTTGATGTAGCAACAAGAAAACTGTCAGCTGAAAGGATTTAAATAATATATCAAGAAAATTGAGTTGAAAACATGATCCTGGCAACAAATATATAGTCAATTACGTCTTACATTATAAATTTATATCACAAAAACTGAAAGGGGTTTTCGAAATTTTTCAAGTATTTCAGGGACATTTACTGCATTGATTAGCAAGATTCCAATTTTTGGTCAGATATCACAAACGCTGCTACAGACATACAAAAACCTTTGAAATATTTCATTTTTAAATCCTAGAAAAAGAAACCTACCCTTTTCATTACTTGTGAAAATGGAGGTTGATCTAGAAGAAAAACAAATGAAAATTTCAATGTCAATATAGCAGAACAAAAATGCTCCAAAAAAGCACTATGAAATATAACTGTGTTCATCATTAACATTATTTATATATAAGTTTTCAAAAATACAGAAATTTGTAGGACATACACAGAAAAAGTGTAAAATAAAAAATTAAGCCTATTGGAAATCTAACTCCTCGTAATTCAATGTAATGTAAATAATAAATTAATTCTATTCTAGAGTTTTTAATCTTCTCTCTCATATTTGAAAATAATAAATATCAAATACCTTATATTATTTTCTGTTCCAAGTTTGACTTCCCATAATAATAATGATGTTCCCATCTGCCAACTTCTAATAAAATCACCTCCAGATAATACACTTATTAATGCTACAAATACAAGAAGAAATATGAAATAAAAGCATTAAATTGTAACAGTAACTGTAAAGACTACCATTAATAAACATGCAAGTGACACTATTATAGAATAGCTGTATCTATAATTCTAAAAATTAGCCAAAAAAGCCTAGAAAACTGAAGGAAATTTTATTTAAGTTCATTTGATACAGCCAACAATTCATAAAATCCTCCCCAAAATTTTTTATAGATTTACGTTTACTCTATAGATAATAGGTCATAACTTACTATTTGATTGATACAGTAAACTATCAACTCTGCCACGTTCAGTTTCTTCAAAAACTCTTCTCCATGCTACACAATAAAATCATTATAACAGTAAGAAAACGGACCAAATTATTCAAATCCTTTTACCATAATATGTAAATGTAATATTTAGTTTTTAATTCTGTTTGAGTGGCTTGGATCTTTTCCAAATAATGAATATTGCCAAAAAGTGTTTTTCTGGGGAATAAGTTCTTCTTTACTCTCCCCAATGTGAGTTTCAAAGACATTATCAAGTTCATTTAGAGCACCTCCTTTGAAGCTATGCCAAGCCGTACAACAAACCACAGACTGTGCTCATATAAAGAAACCTTGAGTAATGGTATTAACAATAACTCATTGTGCAAGTTTATGACAATCTCATCCTGATAGTCAATAGATTAAGCGTTTATCATGCAGAACATTAGTGCAGATTATACAAAGGCGTTGAATTCATATTGTTATTAGTGAAGTTGACGTAAGGCAATTAGGCCTACCTAGACTTCCATTATGTGCATGTATTGAAGCTACAACATGTTTTTCAGTACTAACAAATAATCGTTTCCCTGTTGCTGCAGAAGACTGATCCCAAAATAAATTCTCAACTTTTCCAACATAATCTTGTTTCCTGAAAGAAATAAATATATAATAAAGTTTATTTAAATTATCCTCTGTTTGGTGTTCAATAACTGCCTGTAAGCTGTAAAGTTCTACTAGTACTGGTCCTAGCTACCAGTGATATTGTTTCTATTGGATTCTAATGTATAGACTACTATCATCTATTCATACAATAACATAGTCAATAATAATATTAATAACATAGACTTTTGTAGCCAAGAATGGGCAGTAATAGCATTGGCCATAGGAATTGGTTGTTGCCTGAGGCAACAAAAAAGTTACAACGTCAGTAAATGCTACACATGTTATAATAAAGTAGTCAATCCCCCACCCCCTCCAAAATTGACCTTTTAAGTAAACACCTGCTGCGCTATTAGTTTCGCATTGATTAACGCCTTCGAGACACAAATGTGGACAAAGTTTCATACCAATCAAATAATCCCATCTGATCTTCATACAAACAAAATACATGCTGTAATTGTAAAATCAAAAAGAAAAACGTGAAATGCATATTGCAAGCCGACATGTTTTGTAGCTTTTCAGCCTTCATTGTATATTACATTGAAGAGTTCCAATTCCGGAAATGGCTGCGTTATCAACTTTAGAGAAGGAGTGGTGAAATTAAACTAATAATTTAGGAATGTTTCTAGGTAAAAAAAACCTTCAAATATCCGGAAGCATCTTCAGTAGAATATAGAGTTTCTATCTAAAGACACGTGAGTGTGAATTTTTTTTGTTCCATTGTGTTATTTGGCTTTTTTATCAGGTTAATTCGACATGATCATCCAATAAGCAAAGATGTATATTTTTATTTTTTTTATTAGCTATTAGATCTACCAAAATGTTTTGATACCAACAATACAAAATTAATAAAGTAGCACGTTAAAATCACATAAGGCTTTTGACAAGGGTAGGCCTAATGTAGCAGATATATGCCATAGGCCTATGATAAGCCTCACCTGTGCTTTATTAGCTTAATATTATGTAATTATGCCATATGATTATTTGTTACATACTGGTACATGTAAGTCATAAAAGTTATGTGTGTCATCTAGATCTAATCTAAAGAAATGTTCTGCTTACTGTTACCAGCCTCTGTCTGCTCATACGCCTATGTATTTACAGATATCTGTTGATGTTTACCATTAAGTCAGAAACATAAGACACAGTTTAAAAGTTAGAATTTACAAAATTACAAAGGTGAAGGATTTTTTTTGAGAACATTAAAATGCATATTTTACTGAAAGTAATCATATACTGATATGTCAGTTCTAAACATTTCTAACACAATATTATTAATTAGTGGCCTATATTATAGGCTATAATTAATGTATTGCAATGTTATTATGGCAATAATTATAATTGCAACAAAAATGCTTTTTCTATTAATTCTAATCAATTTAAAATTTTTCTTAATGTAAAATATCCAAATTGTTAAACAACATTATCTATACCACATACAAAATCAATTTCAAATTTAGGTATACTACATAACATGGAAGGAACAATTCAAAATATCGATCTGACAAATAACTACCTTCAAAAGAAAAAAGTTCATGTAGACTTTATACTCAATAACCTGACAAGATAATTGAGATAAAGCAGTATTTACATTAATATATTTCTTATCCTAATTAATTAATCTTGATTAAATCTAGCCTAATTAAGTTACAAGTTTTTCATGTGACCACAGACATGATAGTTTGAGGGGGTTAGATTAAATTGTTTTAGATGTTTTAAAGGGAATGTTGAGAAATAACAGGATATCAGTTTTGTTTCTGACTATTGCATTGTGAAGTTGACTCATGATAATACAAGTGCAGCAATAGTTGTTGTAGGGTTGAATGTTTTATTTTTGGGACTTGTTGATATTTCTGGAGAAAATGGTAATTATGGTCATTTAGTACCATGGAATTTGCATATGGAGTAATTCCTGTTAAATTCTGAATTGTAAAATTGCATAAATACCTTTAATTCTGCAAATCTAAACTCAGTCAAAAATGTACTGTCGAAGTAATTGGAGGTTATCTAATTTCCAACTTAAAGAAGATCAAATATCAATATTGAATAAGTGCTGGTTTCCTCTCTAACATCCGGTAGATCAATAGGGCAGCTTACTGTAGTAGTTTACATGTTGTTGATAGACCAAGTGTATACACAAATACTTGTTAGTTAAAGTCAAATAGTCACTTTAGTAGTAACTCTCTTTAAAACTTATGCTATTTTCAGCTAAAATTCTACTTCCAGAGAGGTTTCCTTATTTTTAACAGGTGTTTAAGATCTTGTTGTTCCTTTGAAATTGTGTATGGAAATAATTTCAGCGCATTTTGAAAGTTGTTCATGATATGAATATAAAGATTATGAACTCTTCATTGACTCTAATTAACCCAGCTTCGTATATTGACCCTGTGTTTTTTATTGATAGTCTAGAGATTTTTATGGAATTGTTGAATTCTGGCAGTTAAATGCTTACGATTAAAATTTCAAGACATTTTAATTCAAGATGTGATAAGTACGCCATTATAAAGATATAAATTATGTACTACTTAGTTAGTTTGTTATTGCCTTTGTTATTTTGTTATTATTGGGAATATGAGCTTCAAACAAGTTATGTTCTCCTCAGATTGACTTTGTGTTGACATATTATCACTTTAGAATTTGTTTGAATTACAAAGAGGAATTTGTGGCCAAAATTAGAGAAAATTTTGAATGACAAGTATTCTTGGAGAAATGAAATGAATGGAGTTTTACTTCCTTTTTCTATACCATGTGGATTAATGAAGACAAGTACTACATTAAGGCAATGGTAAAACGTTATTAGATTATTAGTACTGTTTGGAAGTTTATATTCTTATTCTGATGTCTTATACATTAATAGATTTATTTTAAAAAAAATTTGAAAAGAAAATCTTTTACATCAGTGTTATTATACACAGAAAAAGATTAAACAAATTTAAGGAAATGAAAAAAAAAAAACAAAAAGGATTTGTACTCATAATGGTATTGTTAATTTAATATTTAAATGAAGCCAGTTGATTGTTTACAAATAGTTTAAATAGTATTAGTCAAATAACAGTCAAGTTAAAAATAGTTCTATTACTATATAAAGTGGTATAATAATGATTCATTAATTAGACAACATTTCCTTGACCTTTTAATTAAGATGTACATTAACTGTGTGTGAAAAGTGTAAAAAAAGATTTGGAGACTAGAGTCTGATGGTAGTCTTATCAAATGGGATTTAAGAAACATATCAGTTTGGATGTAAAAGTGACATGGAGATGCTGGACTGCAATTAGGATTTTCATTTTGAAGATTTGGTGATAGTGTTTCTGTGAAAAAAACTGAAATGAATAGAGTTGAAAGTCTTACTCTGAATGAAATGAAGTGAATGATGTTTGAAGAGATTTCAGTGTATAATACAGATTTCTTTCCAGTGTTATGATTTCTAACAAGAATAAGCTTAAGGGTAATTTTGATAAACGAAAGAATTAGTTTTTGAATGGTGTTTTTTTGCCTCCTGATCACAGACTACTTTGTTAACAAATGTCACATACCGGTACTGTATTGATATCAGATTACTGGAAATATTAAGATATTGTTTTTATATTACAACAGATGTGAAATGAAGTAGTAACAAATCATTATTTCATTTTCTTGATGATTGGATCAACATCTTTTTTTTTCTCTAATTGATTCCTCCAGTAACATGGTATAAAACCAGTGAATATACACCATTGTACACAATTTCATTGATTTTCTATGACCTAACATAAGTTGTCTATCTTTACATAGTCAGTTAAGACCAGCCAATATCTACAAATAATGAACTGTCCATGTCTGGGTAGAAATTTGAAAACCTCTCTGGAAATTGAATATCGATTTGGGTAATATAGTTGAAAAAGGGCATGATGTATTAGTGAGTTACTTGCATTATAAAGTGCAGAACTTGATAAGAATTAATTACATTCTTTGAGCTGGCACGAATTCTTAGAATTTATGAGGCAGTTTATTGTTATGGTCTGTTCATGAGGAATTGTTAAAGTCTATTAGCCGGTGGAATCTAACGGTGGATATTGACTGTAAAGTATATTTGGTTATAACACCATCTGAATAATCCAATTAATTCTTATGATATTGACTTGGATAATATTTGTGAAAAGTGTGAAAGATATTTTGTTAAAAACTTGTTGAGATTTGAAAGTGTGTATCAAAGAAAAATGAAACAAAAAACAAAAGTTAAAGACAAGAACAAACAATGCATTAAATATGAAAAGTTTGATAATGCGGCTAAAGGTGGTGAGATCACATCCAGTCCAATACAGTCATCTACCAACACATCTACTACCAATACTACTTGGTATGTTGAACCCGTCAGTGACACGGTAGACCAAAATGTCAATGTGAATGAATGTGAAGAATTACCTTCAGTCAACGTGGAAACTTCGGGTTGTGAAGAGGTCACCACTTTAAATGTCACTGTTAGTGCCAAGAACCTCTGCTCTGTTAAAGAAACTAGCTCTGTAGATGTCAGAGAAAAGTTTAATTCAGGAACTTGCTCTGCTGAAAGGAACAGTGATGTTGATGAAGATGTTGGTAAGGAGCAGATTAGTTCCAATGAAAGGGAACATTTAAGCAGAATAAATCTACAAGGAGATGTGGATCAAACTTCAATGAATGCAGTTTCAAATAGTGCAGACCATAAAGTATCAGAAAGTGTCACTATTCATGATAAACGTAAAACTCTACAAAAACAGTTATCTGAAGTTTTATCTGATTTTCTGGAATCACGAAATCTAAATGTTTCTACAAGTGACCTCAAGCCATGTGAAAAGTTAAGTACCACTGGCGGCTCCTTGGAACAGGATTCTAGTGTAACTATGAACAATATAGATTCATCTTTTGACAATTCTTCTTTAAGTCCTGATGTATTTGAGCCAAATGATTTATCTTTTGAAAAAGACCAGATGAAATCCTTTTCACCCTTCTTTGCCACTAGTGGAACAAAATCCCTATCATTAGGTTCCAATTTTGAAAACTTAGATTCAATTTTAAAATCTCCCAAAAACTCTGAGAGTAATTCAGAAAAGATGGTGAAATTTAACTTGCCGAATGTTGAGATAGAAAACGAGAGTCAAACCAGATCAAGTTCAGATTCAAGTGATACAGACAACAATGGAGTAAAATCTGAGTCTACCTCCAGTGAGTTGAGGAATAAGGGCTGTGTTGTTGATAGATTAATACGAACTCAATCTCATAAAAGTTTAAAATATAATAAAGATGGCACACTACAATTAGGTAGTATGAAACTACATCGTCAGTCAAGGTAATTATTGTTTTATTTTGATTGATTCATCTTGAAATTACCAATTAATCTTATTAAATATAAGCTATTAATCTTAAATGACTCAATGAGATCAAAAACTTTGTCAGATTTAAGTTCAATTAATTTCACATTGATAGTGTTTGATAATTTTGTTGAACATAATAGTTAAATTCTTCCTAACTACCTGCTCTCACGAATTTGTATTCATACAATATTAAGTGTTGTATTTTTAAAAATGTTGTAATTGCTGGATTGAGAACCTCATCTTGGCCTTAGATCCCATGAATGGTGAAATTTATGTGAATCATTTAACCAATTTGTTAGTAGTAGGGTATCCTTTAGAATATGTAGTGTATCTATCTATCAGAACTCAGACAGCCTTTTACACATCTATTCTTAACAGTATTTTTGTTTTTTTTATGAAAATTTTTATCAGTTTATATCTAGTAATAGTGGCTAATTTGCATGAAGGTGCAGGATCTGTGTTAAGCACTTGAAATTGGAAATAGTTCAAGAATGGCTTCAAAATAGCCTTTATTTATTAAACACAAATTTCTATGGAAAAGATCAAGGGTGATCTAAATGAGCACAGTCACTTAGAGTATTTTTAAATGATACATTTGAGTGTACAGTGTAAAGATTGTCTAACTTATGTTATTGTTTATCTATTGTTTGTATTGACTAAAGAGTGTCGTGACAGTTTAGAAAGGCCAAGTGGTTTATATTACCCCTCTACTAACCTACATTTGACTGTAAACTTTAATAGTAAACAGTTGTCTAGTAGTTGTACTACATGTTTTACTATGAATCATCTTATACTATTTTAGATATAACTCCACCTTTTCATGAATATTACATATGAACATTTTATGATGTTAAAGGCGTACATCTAACGACATGCATACAAGCTGTTTTTCGCTATATATAACACTTTCCAGAATTAAAAGCAGACATAGGGTTCATCTAAAATGAATCTTGCATATATCTAGCCTGTGTATACTTTAAAATCATTAATTATTAACATTCTATATTAAAATATATTACTAACAGATAATGTCATTATTTCAGTAATAACTGCTTATGAGATTGTAATAGTGCTATAGAACAATCTAAATTTCCACAGTAACTTAATAATGAATAGCAGGAAAACCAGACGTCTAATAATAATTTGTTTACTCCATATTCACAATAATTTTTCAAGTAGATTGAACGTTATGTAGTGAAAATTCAAGTAGGCTGCCTGTTAAATTATCACTAAATATCAATCGTTCAATCTTGTATTTGATATACTGTTTATATTAGGTCATTCACCCTTTTCTTTATTTCATTCATTCTATAAATACAGTGAACAATAAAATCATGTTTAAGGAAATAACCTATTATTAAAAGGAAATTTAAACCACATTATAAGATAAAATATATTTGATGAATCAGTTTCAGACTGATTAAGCTAACATTATATTATATAGTCATATAGTTTTTTTATTGTTAATAATGATTCATTGGTGTAATGTGCATTCAAGGTAATACACACAATATTCCTAAATAAAGTAAGTGCAAAAGCTGAATATTCTGTATCTTTTAATCAAATGTTTGACCATATGTACCTAAGTATCGGAAACCAGTGATTTTTTAGCTAAGTTAATCAGTAATAGCATTCACAGCTCACCATCAAAATTTTAGCCTTCAAATCCATGTGTGTCCAGAAATATCTGCGTTTGAAAATTTCTTGAGACTCAGCCATATATAGAAAGTAAAATTTCATTTGACACATGTCTTATTGATAATGATCATTTTATTATATTAATTATGATTTTAAATCTGTATTATAGTCAATAATGATTAATAATTGATTATGTTTTACTTTAGAAGAAAATTAGTATCTGATCCTTTTAGTTCTTACTTTGATCAAACACTATGTAAAATTTTCTGTTCAAGCACTGAAAGTTTGTGAGTTCAATACTTGCTCGTAATAGGTCCCTTCAGATTTTTCAACCTGGTTTCCCTTTGTCAGTGATGCAGTTAAGAGGGACTGACGCAGAAGAAGCCCACAGGGTGCAGAAAAATTTCATTTTGAAATAATTCTGTTACTTTAGCTTGGTAATAATTTTTGTTTTATAAATAATTATAAAATAACTAATTGTAGGATGAGTGATGGAGGTGAAGATGAAGGCCAGGAATGGCTATATGAATTATTATCTGAAGTACAACTTGAAAAATTCTTTACCAAACTTCGAGATGATCTTCAGGTCACCAGGTCAGTAGTTTATTCTGGTTTCAAATTAATTTTCTATCAAACCGTTAGAAGGGTTGTATGACATTTTTGATGATTCTGATAATTTCAAATTTTCATATTTATCATGTGAATTTTGAATAGGAAAATTCTATGGAGAACAATTACTATCTTTATTACAGACAAAGTTTTAACTAGGTTTGTTTAGTTGATTATTATCTGATGAAGACTAGAGAAACCAAGTTGAAACATATCTGTAACTGTTTCCCATATGGTATTTTCTTAATTTTAATTCATACTAATTACAAAATTGTCCACAAAATTGATCATTTGAATGAAATATTTTGTCTAATCTCCTGATATGTTTCTTAAGGACTAAATATTACTTTTTTTGGCATGTGTATATTTTGCTGAAGAATGGAGAAGAGTCTACCTGATTTCAATCATTGTAAATATTTGTATTTTATTACCGGTAGTACCATATGATTTCTAGGTTGACACATTTTGATTATGTAAAAGTAGAGGATTTAGAAAAGATAGGAATGGGCAAGCCAGCCATTAGAAGATTGTTAGATGCTATTAAAAAGAAGAAAGCTATGAAAAAGAAAGGATTGTTAGACAAGGTAAGTTGTTGGTGTTGGTATTATTTATCAATGCTGGGAAATGTTGATATTATGGTGTGGCCATTTTGTTGAAGTGCTGCTTATCTGACTGATTTTCAGATACTTTGTGACTGCAGATTTTAAATATTTTAACTATTATTTTACCAATAACTAATTTTAACAAGGATAACAACTTAGGTTGACGAGGATTCTTTGTATCAACTGGTATTAGTTAAGCCCATTGGTATTGTTTATAGCTTTGCCGACTTGAATAAAGAGGACTTGATTCAGGGTCATCAGAATTTCACATGCTGATCAAGAGTGGATTTTGTTAAGATTCCTCAAATTACTGGTGCTTAGACAATAACTAAAGATGTGGACCCATGAACCGTCTTGGTCTGCGATTTTTGTCGATGACTCGAATCGTGAGTAAAATCTTGTGTGTGTCTGTGCTTTCACGACAAGGCTATCGCGTTCATGACAGGATTTATAATATCAACAAGTTTGATGATTGTCTCTAATAGTTTTATTGTCTTCATCCAATCTCATCCAATCAGATTCATTTTCCTTCAATTGCATGCTCCATATGTGATTGACATGGTGGAAAACTGGAGATTGTGAGCCTGTGCTGGTTGGTGAAACTCTTGATAAGACTCTAGTTGGCGACAAAAATCTGTTGTGTGCCTGCACCTTTATTGTTACTATCTGACTATTCTAAGCTACTTTTAGCTAATTTAATTTTTATAGCATTCTGAATAAACTTGATTTAATTCATTTATATGTAAGCTAATGTATTGTTTTACAAAAAGTTTTAGAAAAAAAATTTCCAAATACTGTTTTTAGCTTAAATCCTTCATGAAATAAAACTTGTACTGGAAATGGTGCTGTTGTTAAAGCACTAAAGAGTACATATATTTCAAATGTCATACAAGAGTTTTGTTTATCTTTTCAGATATTACCAGGTTCTAAATCTCTAGATAAAACATCTTCTAGAAAACTATCATCAACATCATCATCAGTTTCACCTAGTTCTCCTAGAACTAATGATCCTAGTTTAACTTGCTTAATAGATCAGAAGTTTCTCTATATCTATGGCAAGTTAGGTAATGGTTCATTTGGTGTTGTAAGGAGAGGAGAATGGGTTACTCCAACACAGAATAAGGTTAGTTTCCTCCTTTGTAGGAGCTTAAGTCATTTCTAGATTTCTGATAATGCAGTTAGTTATTTATTTGCACTGCACATTTCAGATTTGAATTCTGACATCTTCTGCCTCGAAAATTAATTCCACCTTGGAAGTTAAGTTGAAGTTTTCAAGTTGTTGTCAACGCTCTGATGTATGACTTTTTAACTGAACTTCACTTTTCAAAAACATCTCAGAATTAACAAAATATGTTTTCATTTGTTAACATTGAATTGATCTGTTAACATTAAATTGATCTGTTAACATTGTATGATCTGTTAACATTGTATTGATTTGTTAACATTGAATCGATTTGTTAACATAGAATTGATTTGTTAACATTGAAAATTCGCAACTTGTATATCAGCACCAGATATGTACCAGCAATGATATTTGTTTATTTGAAATTCTTCCCCTATGTTTTGTAGAAAGATGTAGCTATCAAGATTCTAAAGAATGATGCATTAGCTCAACCTGGTGCTTTTGAAGATTTTGTTAAAGAAGTGAATTCTATGCATACATTAAATCATCCTAATTTAATCAAGTTATTTGGAGTTGTTCTGTCATCACCTTTAATGATGGTAAGCTTGTTAGAAATAAGTTTATATAGTTTAACTTAAACTAGCTTAGCTTAAACTAAAAAAATGTTAAACACTCACTTATGATATAATGCAAAATGACAAACTGGCGATTTTTCTGTCTTCAGCAATAAAATATTTGTGTGTCCCCCTAGTTATAATGTCCTGTCGAGCCACTGGGTTTATCTTACCTTTCCTGACCAGCCATCTTAAGACAATGTTTTTTGGAACAAATATGATACTAAAAAGATGCCATCCTATTGAATTGCTGAGATTGAATTATGAATTTATAGGTAGCAATTACCTTGTTATTAATTTGCTTAGTGATAATATTAGTTGGTAATGTCTCCTGAAATAAACATTTAACTGTCATCATGTATATGTGTGTTTTCTAGGTAACAGAACTAGCAGAACATGGTGCATTATTAGGTAAATTACGTGAAGAAGGTCCTAAGTTATTAATTTGTACCTTGTTAGAGTATGCTATACAGATAGCTAATGGTATGGGTTTCCTGGAATCTAAACGTTTTATACATCGTGATCTAGCATGTAGAAATGTTTTATTATCAGCCAATGATAAGGTATTTTATTTCTTACCATTCAGATTCTCACATTATTTTCTTGTTTATTGTTTATTGTTTATTGTTTATATGGGAGGAATTTACAAAGCAAAAACAAATGGGATGAGTGACAGAGCACTTTCGATCTGCGAGACATTTTGTATGCAAATGTGCTAGAATTTCAGGATTTTTCATGAATTCTTGATAAAAATTTACTAGTTAAATGTCCAGTTTGGAACTTATAAAATCAACAGCCCAAGGTGCCCTTAAAACAAGCCATTTAATATTTCACTCTTATTTTCTGAACTATTAACATGTATCAACTAATTATATATGTAAGGTATTTAAATTTGTATTTTTACAGGTGAAAATTGGAGATTTTGGATTAATGAGAGCATTACCAAGTCAAGTTGATCATTATGTTATGTCAGAACAGAAAAAAGTTCCTTTTGCTTGGTCAGTATTTCATGATATCATTTACAGTATTAAGAACTAATTATAAACCAAACTACATTAATCAAAGTAACAATGAGAAATGTCTAAACAACACGAATAACGTTTTGATTAAATGATTTTTTTTTTCGTCTTGCTTGTTTAGTTGCTTGTCAGTTAAGTTTCTTTGCTTGTCTATACTTACAAGACTTATGCATGGTTTGGTAGGTTAGAATTCATTTGAAGCAATACACTCAGTGAATTCAAAAGAATCTAGAAAGTGATTGTGGGTGAGTTCAGCTTGTGAAAGTACCTTTGAATAAGTCCTCTTTCCTTATTATTCCAGTCGACCCACCTGGTAGAAAGGATTCATTGTTGTTTTCCTTGTAAAAAAATTTGTTTCTATGTATGATTTATTTGTAGTTAACTGATATCTTTTTTCAGGTGTGCTCCAGAAAGTTTAAAATCTCGACAATTTTCTCATGCTAGTGATATGTGGATGTTTGGTGTCACATTATGGGAGATGTTTACCTATGGTCAGGAACCATGGCTGGGTTTAAATGGCTCACAGGTAGAAGAAATTTTGTTTTATTATAATACTCCTACTATATATTTATATGTAGAATATAATGTCATCAAGCACATCCCTCAGTTCGGCCATCCATCCAGGAATGAAGCCTTACCAAAATTGGAAAAATTGAAAATATTATCACTGTTCAAGGTGTACTTGTATTGTAAAAAAAAAGTTTCAAAATATTTTGTCAAAGCACTGTAATTTAATCAGATATTACAGAAGATAGAATTGAAGTTATTAAGACTATTCTCTAATATTGTTGTTGTAAATGTTAATGTATTTGTATTTAAACAGATATTACAGAAGATAGATGTAGATAATGAAAGGTTACCAGAACCAGCTTATTGTCCTACAGGTTTATATCATGTAATGTATTTGTATTTAAACAGATATTACAGAAGATAAAATTGAAGTTATTAAGATTATTCTCTAATATTGTTGTTGTAAATGTTAATGTATTTGTATTTAAACAGATATTACAGAAGATAGAATTGAAGTTATTAAGACTATTCTCTAATATTGTTGTTATAAATGTTAATGTATTTGTATTTAAACAGATATTACAGAAGATAAAATTGAAGTTATTAAGATTATTCTCTAATATTGTTGTTGTAAATGTTAATGTATTTGTATTTAAACAGATATTACAGAAGATAGAATTGAAGTTATTAAGACTATTCTCTAATATTGTTGTTGTTAATGTATTTGTATTTAAACAGATATTACAGAAGATAGAATTGAAGTTATTAAGACTATTCTCTAATATTGTTGTTGTAAATGTTAATGTATTTGTATTTAAACAGATATTACAGAAGATAAAATTGAAGTTATTAAGACTATTCTCTAATATTGTTGTTGTAAATGTTAATGTATTTGTATTTAAACAGATATTACAGAAGATAGATGTAGATAATGAAAGGTTACCAGAACCAGCTTATTGTCCTACAGGTTTATATCAGCTAATATTACAGTGCTGGGCACATAAACCAGCTGAGAGACCTAGTTTTGTGGCTATCAAAGAGTCTCTTTGTGAGGTAGGTGTAGTTTAACCAAATAAACACTGGCAGAGCTTATACCATAATGTTTTTGATAAAAGTACAGTTATAGAAAGTGTACTATAGGAATTATGTTAGTTACAATATTTTGATCAATTCTAGAAAGACATTTACAAGTTTCTTTTGAAGTTAGTACTGGGTAATGTTAATCATGTCACTATACGATACGTATCACAATTTAGGGGCTACAATACAATATGTATCATGTTATTGGCTTAGATAAAATGTATACCAAATACCATACATGACCATGTAATACAATACACATATAGTGATGTATCAATTCACCAATATATGATACCAGCACTAGTGGAAGTCATGGGTTTGTCAAGGACCTTACCTGGTTTAAAAAATGTCAAAGTCAAACAAATTACACAACAATTTGATACAAGTTTTAAATTTCTAGGTACAACCACCAGAAGTAAAAAGTCTGCAGAATTATGATGAAAAAGATAAATTAAAGATAGAAGAAGGAGATCATATTATTATTATATCTGGAAAGTAGGTCATTCTCATTTTATTTTATAAAAACTTTTCTCAAGATTTTTGTAAGACTAAATGTGTGTTGCCATCTCTTGTCGTTCGGATAGAACAATACACCAAGGCCCTGTGTGCACAGCAAAGACCCCTTGACAGTTGGAAATTAAAGAAGAGTAGGCTAATGTTGCTGGCTAATGTTGCTGTCATTGCATATGGCATTGCCTTTTTCATTAACCAATTTGGTGCAAAAAAGTAAAACTATGTTCATTTCTTATTTTGTTTTTCTAATACAGATCTGAAAATTTCTTTTGGAATGGGCAAAATAAACGTACAACTGAAATTGGTTTATTTCCAAGACAATTGGTGGATCCCTTAAGAAAGAGAGCAAGTAAGTAAAAGTTACATTCCTGTTTTCTTGAAACTGTTTAAAATAAACTCATTGTTAAAAATTTTATAAATCTTTGAAATTGATAAAGAAAGTTTACTATTTCTGATATCTTGTTAGCTAATTATTCAAGAACATTTTTTGACATTTAACAATGTCTAAGTGGTGAGAGCTTTTGGAGATGCTGAAATGAAGACTGTAGGAAATTGAAAATAGCACAATCTTATATTCTTTTCAGTACTTTATATAATGCGTATAACAAAATGATTATATTAGGATATGGTTTCAATTAATTTCCTTTCATTAGTATCATTACCCATACTGCCTCATGGTCATATTTTACTGATATTTGTTACCAGGTCAAGATATTAGTAAACCATTAAAGAATAGTTTTATTCATGCTGGTCATGGAGATGTATTTGGTAAAACTTGGGGTGATCCTGCTACAATAGATGAGTTAGTATCAAATATATCATTTCACTTGTTATAACTTGATCTATATTTATTTACTCTTGACAACAGAAAACTGCCAATGTACATAGAGCATAGATGACTATTAATATTTAGGGTAAATAGACTGACTATATGTCATAGAGTCAGATCTCATGTCCCAAAGAACATTCCCATGTTCGAAATTTCAATAATCTTCAATACTTTTATATTTTCAGGGTATATCTTAGGAATCCGATGGAACCACCTGATATTTCAGGAGATCCTGCTAATTCTGAACCAGAAAAATTTCAGATCATTAACAATAAAAGTAAGATTATGTTATGTTTAAAACTATTTTAACTATTGTCAGTTTGATAACTTATTATCTTCAGCTCTTTGGTTCACTTTGGTTCCTTGAGGAACTACAGAATATTTTGAGATGAACTTTTCAGTAACCAAAATATTAAAAAAAGTTAGATGAAATTCAAAGTCTGAAATCTTTTTTCTCTTTACAGAAGCAGCCATGAATGTAAAACAATTCAACTATTCCAAATTAAAATCTGCACCATCACCAACTCGGAGCCCTGGTAAGAAAAGATCACAATCTCACAAACCCACACCATTGGCTGCTGTATCTGGTAACCAAAGATCATTTCATGACAAGAAGCATTTACGTGCCTCTACCAAGAGTACAAGATCCTTGGATGATAAACCTTTGATTGACCTATCTGAGGAAGTAGAGGAGAATGAACTAAAACCCAGTAACATGAAAACAACAAGAAGCACCTTGTCCTTATTTGACTCATTGCTAAGTACCAACAATTCAACCCAGTATGGAAATGTGGGTTTACCCAGACCATTAATTACTGATTCACCAGATCCATTTGAGATAAGTCAAGGTTACAAGATGACTAGCTCTGCTTCTTCTGCTTACAGTTCTTCATCAGAGGGATCCTGGACCAATCCTGCGAATCCTCTGGCTGCTCATCAGGATTCCACTTGGCCAAGGTCCAAATTTGATCAAATTGAATTTGAAAGTAGGATCAAAGTGTTACCGACGAGCTCACAGAACTTTGAATCTCGCACTCATGTGGTGCAAAAGCCAGTGTCCAGCATTCCACCAGCAAACCCTTTCTCAGATTCCCCAGCAAGTCCTTCTGGGAGTAGTATATATTATTCCCTTCCTCCAAAAGAAGACAAACTTTATTCTCTTACAAAAACAAATCTCAAATCTACTTCTGCTTCCCATCAAACTTGTGTCAAAGAAACAATGTTACGAACTGAAACAAGTAGCCATTTTAAAGAAAATGTTCAGTTACAAGTGAAGTTACCTCCCCCTAGTAAACCAGAAACTGAAAAGACAGACAAGGCATTTGATTGGATCAATGATGAACTTAGCAACTTTGCTTTCTCTCGTGCTGTGAACAAAAGAGACGAAAACAAAAATATCCTTACGAGTAAAGACTTGCCAATGTATGATGAGGTGCCAAAGGAGGATCCACCTCCTTTGCCACATTATGATGACCCTCCACCACTTACAGCTTATTACGACACATCCCCTCTTAGCTTACCCCCAAACTCTCAACCTCCCAAATTACCATTGTATGATGACCCTCCTACTAATATGTATGCAGAAACTCCCTGTCAGTTTGATCAACCTCCACTGTATGATCAGGTACCAACTGAAACTGACATGCCTGACTTTTCCAATATGGCCACAGCATCAGCAACCTTAAGTTGGGATTCTTTTGATTCTGATTTTGATGAAGATGTTGAGGCTGAACCTCATGTTGCTTGTCCTCCTCCCTTACCCCCAAGAGACTACAGCAGTAAAAGACATTTACCCCAAATTTACCCCATGGTAAAAGATGGGAAACAAATAAGCCATACGCATTACTTCTTGATTCCAGAAAGAGGCAAAGGTCATCCGAAAACACGTCCTCCATCATCCTCTAACATGGCAGAAGTGAAGCCATTTCAGATAGAGAAAGGACCAGACGTAAAGTGTCCCACTTCCATTTCACACCGTCATTCTACATATCAAAATATAAACACTATTCAATCTACTTCTCGATTCTCTAAAAGTAGTGAGAATTTAGTAGATTCAGGAGTTCCTGCTAAACTGAAAGTGCCGAAATCTGATGCTGCCAATACATCCTGGTCTAGTTTACCAGGTCAGAAAACTTTAACTGTTAATTCCTCCAGACAATATCAAAGACAGGTGTCAGAACCATCAAAACGATCAGGGTCACATGAAAACCGTTCTCGCGAATATCGTAGTGTAACAAACTTACAAAGGAAAGATGCAACATTCGAAAGCTCATCTCCCCGTGATCGTATAGCCACTGTTCAAAATAGTGTGATTGGTGTCACAGATGAAGAGAGCCATGCTGCTCTGTGCCATTGTCATTGGGATGTACCAGAAGCTATCAAATATCTCAAAATAGAACAATTGTTTCGTTTAGGTCTGGCTCCAAGAGCACAATGTGAACAGTTGTTGGATACGTTGAATTGGAATTTGGAATTATCTAGTTCTGTATTATTGGATCAGTTTAATGGAAGAGTTTCAATTGAATCAGCAGTGTAGTCAGCTAATCTGTATGTGTTAAATTGTGATAGCCTGAATATTGGTCTGAATGCTAGAATTGCATTTAACTGTCAATAATAAAATTGATGAAGCAGCGCTCTAAACTTGTGATGTATATCAGGGACACTGATAGAATCCATTTCTTTAATTCGGGAACACAAATAATTCGAATTAAGCACTAGAAGCTATAAATGACTCTGATATACAAGAAAAAAGTTGAAAAAACCTCTTTCGTTCTCTTTGTGGATTCTAATTCTATTTGGCAATAGTAAGAAGCAATTGTGATGAGCTCTGACAATATAGAATTAACTCTATAATGTTAAGGTTTGATGAAGACTACTTATTTATATGTAGATTTATAGTAGTGTTGGTTAATAGTAAGATTTCACAATGTTATATTTCTTGTAGGACTTGTTTTCAATATTCAAGTTGCACTTGATTAGCAAGAACCAAGTAATATCTTATAACGTACAATTCTTGTGACATCACCAAATTATAGGCTACTACTTCCAAAATCAGATTTATTAATGTTTGGTTGGTAAGTTTGATACAAGTTGTGACCATATAAATTAAAATTTTGATCTATCTTGAAAGTTGAAATGGCAAAGTAGATAATGATTGAAATTCATTTTATAAATATATTCCCATATCATTTGATTCTATTATATATTTAAAGACGTTGATTTTTCACATACCAGATAGAAAATCATGATATTATTAAAATTACAAGTAATTTATTTGATATACCAAAAAATCACTGTTTATGATTCCTAAAAAACCTGTAAACTTTGTCTCCACAGAAATCATCTTATTTATAAATAATTATTATATAGTTTTATAGTTAGATTCTAGATTGGGATTGCTTTCCATCATTAAGTATAGCTGTCAAACATCATCAAACACATTACATAGGCATGAGAAGAAAAATCATCAGAAATATCCATTTTGCTTGGCTAAGGATTGTGAAATTTCTCTTTGGTATCAGACTGTTTGTTTTCTGTGTAAATTTTGTCATTTTTTTTTTTTAGTTTTCTTGATAATTATGTGATGCAGGGCATCTTTGGTGCCATTTACAATGCTCCAATAATTTATTTATATCATTCATTACTTTATCTATTTACAATTCAGTGTTATATATTTACATTTATAATTATGGTAATGTTGAGGTATATTTACATGTCTACCTGTGTATTTCCTGGTGTTAATGACTGGTCAGCTTAGGACATTTCACAATTTACATTTCATAAAATCTGTAGCAGTCATTCATATATGACTCTTAACCCAAAAACTGACTGATTACCAGCAACTTAACAAAACTGTTTGGTTGGCGTTTCTAATCACTAGAAATTGGTAGAAAGTAGACCACAAGCATCTGGTCGCATCTTGCTAAATCAAGCTATTATTCAATATCTTCTAGATTCTGCCAGTTTCCGGAAGTAGTTGAAAATCCAATTCTTTTGAAATTGTGTACAACTTTTTACATTTGAATATCTTGAGGTTTATTATAGGCTAACTATATGTAGTTGTTGATGAATATTAACATTTTGTTAACATAATACTATTTCTATGAATTCAGGAAAATATGGCTATGCCTTTGTTAATATTTGGACATTTGTTGTGAAGTGTTTACATTCATGATTGAAAAAGAAATTGTACAATTGTTGTTTTGGTTATATTCAAAATCTATGTTGGTAACAAGTGTTTACAGTGAGTGGCTTTTGCCTTTGTTAGTTTGGTGCTTTGTGCTCTTTAATTGTTGATGGTGTTTACAAGTTGTAAACTGTGAATGGAAAGTTGCATTATTGCATTTGTTAATTATGAATTGTGTGAACTGTTAGTCATACATCTTGTTAACAAATGTTTACATTTTGTTTACAGATGAATATTTGTTAACAAATGTTTACATCATGTTTACACATGATTATAACTGTTAGTGATTTATGACATCAGGAATATGTTCATATGCAGAGTTTTGTTAATATTTTTATTAACTTACTGGTTGACAAAAGGTTACAATACTATCAGATGTGTTTTGATTCTATATTCAGGGAAATTGATTGTTTAACTACTTCCACTGTGTTTGATATGGTGGAAGGTGTTAATTGAAAGATGTTGTTGATAATGTGTGATTTAGGATGATGTATATGCCCTCTGCATCCCCATACTTATATTAGTTGATAGATCTTTGTAGTTGGTTATTCCTTTAAGATGTACATGGCTTGTATTTTGTGAAACATGAAACCTTACTGCAATATGCTGAAAGTTTTACTTTGAAAACTTTTCAATTTACAATATATTTTGCTATGATGTTGAATGATATTGGATTGTATAATGTTGGACACTTTTCAACTAGTGGAAACGTGATAGCTGTTAGGTGCCAATAAATCTTCTTGTAGGCCCTTACTATCATTTGAGATAAATCTTCATACAAATCATACTCTTTAATACATTAAGTATTGTTCACTGATATTTTTTTATTATAACAGCAAAAATGGCACTTATTGATTTTTAAATGAAAAAAAAAATATTTTGAAATAATATCTTATATAACTTTTCTTTAACAGTGAAAGATGAAGATAAACGAATTTTACAATTGTGATTCATAGCATTCTTGCATCAATACTTAAACAAAAAAACTGAAATTAGTTACGCTCTTCAATTCAAATAGTAGGCTCATAGACATGCTGTTAAAGTAGCTTTCCACAATTTGTTCTTTTGATACTCCTAGACTAGACTCCTAGGAAGCCTTTCATGTTACAGATTCTTTCTGTCCCTGTAGTGAGCCTGCATGTTGGGGCGTAATTTGTCCAATCCTGTAATAAGCAGTGAATATCTTGAAATCTTCAATAACATCAAATAGTGTAATTTGTTAGTTTGTTAATATATCAACCCTTGTATCTTGTTTATTTATCCTTGTACAACAATATTATATCATGTTAATAAATACAATCTAAACCCAGTATTTCATAATGATCTTTTAAGTCGGTTGTTGTGTACCCCTAGCTTAGATCATAGTATTGCACGTTTTTGTGTCGCCTTATAACTTGATTGGTTCCTGTTGACCACTTTCCACCCGACCGTATTATATTTTGCTTAAAACCCTTTTGGATGATTTAACTGGCAGTGAAGTGATTTAAATATACTTGATTAAATTCGTCAATTAATGGCAGACACATGCATTCAGAAAATACGTACTTGACGGAAAACATATTATTTGATATCAAAAGCGGTACCTAGGGTATATGCCATGTTTATGAGTTACAACTCGACTGAATGCTATCGAATTCCAGTTGTGTTTTGTAGCCCATTTCCAACAAAATCCAGTCAGTAATATATTTATTTACAATGTTTAACAGACAATACTATTTCTGAGGGCTATTTTTGGCAATAAATTTGAATAACGAACTATTTGAATTATTCTTACTCCATATTGAGTTGAAATTTCACAGATATTAATCACTAATATAACACAAAATATTTATCATTGTTTTAGTGTAGTTTTTGCACCAATAGTGCTTTCTCTGTTCTTAAGTTACATTTAAACTATATATATACATAGTTCGGATTTCAAAGCATTGAAGTCAAATGGATGAACCAAAATTAAAATCAGGACTAAGAGAAAGTGGTCCAATACCACCAAGAGATTTACTTCGATGTCTGCTGCTATTTTTATCAAAATTCAAAGATTTCAAAACACGCGGGTTGTAGCTCTTAGGATCAGAAACCATTTTCAAAAACATGTTTCTCCGAAGACGAGCTCTTTGGATGTTGCAGCGTTGGTTATCAAATATGATATTATTGTCAAATTCTGGGAAAACCTCGTCATCTTCCTCGTCACCATAGCTATCTGAACTCGAATTGTCCATAGAGCTTTGATTCTTCTGATCCATGGATATGTTAGTATCCTTTCGACTGAGTCGTGCTGCTAACATTTCTGTTGCTGTTTTGGTTATGACTTTCCAGGCAAATGAGATATCCTCGTCACAAGCACTCTCAGCACAGATAGCAAATCTGATGACGTAATGCTCATTGATCAGTGCTGGAACCATATGCAGCTGTCCCGATTCATTGGTAAATTTCAACAAACGTTGAGTGAGGTAATTCGAACCCTAAAAATCAAAATTGCAGACTGAATGATTACAAGGTTCAAGTCGATTTTGCGACTGACAGAAATTGAGAGCTAGCATACTGGATCTGATTAATCGGTGGATCGGTCGACGCGCCTATGTGTGAATACTGATTATAGTCGCAGTTGCCGTCATCTAAGCGCGTCCTTTACTTTCTGGAATTTTGCTCGGATTCTCGTCTCCAGTTGCCCGGAAATGGTCTTAGTGGTTATTGAATCTAATTCAAGTATAGTAATAACAATGAGATCTTGTCGAAGGAATTTGCGACCATCGGACCATCCCGTTGATTAGCCGCTAGATTTCCCATATTCATAGTGATCGACCCTTTCGTCTTTATTATATGACAGAGATTGGAGGTACTCTTGACCTTTGCATAACCCTTTATCTAAAAGACATTAAATAAAACACAACGGGAGTAAACTGTAATGTAGGGGAAATAATAACGACATACCTTGAGTCTGAAGCAAACCAATCCCATGGTCACTTTACCCAAAACTTCAAATCTAGGATCAGTGGCCACCAGAGTTTCAAACAGTTTAGCCAATCGACAATGCTTGAATATGAATTATAGATTAAAGACTTGATAATGCATTACAAATCAAACAACAATCCACAACAAGAAACGACAAGATCAAGTTTAAATATGTCAGCTTTACATAGGATATCTGGAATGTAAGACACAAAAAACATCGCCGTCTGTCAGTTCATTACAGTAGTATAAACAATGTGTCTGTTCTAGAATTTGGGAATAAACTATATATTCGTGGTATAAGGGTAAAAGGCACCCGGTTCTTTAAGATTTGTACAAGACAAAATTAAGACTCACCTCTCTGATTCGATGTTGTAGTCCGTCAACACCATAAGTTCTCAAAACAAACCATAATTTCAAAGCTCTGAACCTTCTGCTGAGTGGAATTCCCCAATGCTAAAGAAAAATTACTGATCGTCTGATCTTGATATATAAAACCTATAATGTACTTATTTTGAAATTTATGCCTGTGTCACTGTCATATATTATAATATAATGAGGTTGCTCTGAAAATTGTATATGCCTCCGTAACCTTGATATAATAGTATCTATAACTCTGCAATTTATGGCTCTGAGTCATATAATATCATATAATATCTATAGCGAATTTACTCTGAAATTTATGACTGATACTGTTTATATTTATAATGTACTTACTCTGAAATCTATACTTTCGTTACCTTGATATTTAAAATAAATGAACTTACTCTGAAATCTATGGCTCTGTCACTATGTTTATGTTGTAGGTATAAAGGATCGACAGTCATAGCAGTTGTTAACGTATCTTTATCCTTTACCCTATAATTAGATGGTATACATATCTTTAAAAAACATGTACACAGAAATGGAAAGAAATAACATAACGAAGTACAACCTTAGGTTTTCTCAGTTGATTATCGCATATGACCCTTAAACGGCCAAAGTATATAATAGCTGATTACAATCTGTTATTAACTATCTGTATAGAAAACCAATGCCTACCAGAAAAGAGAGCAGTCGAAGTTTACTTGCAACCATTTATTGGTATTGAAATTTATAGAGTTCACATTCTGTAACAGAAAAATGTTTTAAGTTTGACAGACCATTTGTTTAATTCAGCTGATAACATGAAAGAATTGATGCCTATTATGACGGTAAGTCATAGAAAAGGGATTTTTCGTCCAGTTATTAAACTAGGAAACTATGACATGATTATCTTAATATGCTTTCATATCGTCTGCTTGTTGCTATTATTGTTACGGTTTCGTTGAAAATATTTCTAATTAATTGAAAACCATGTCGACCTAAGATTAACAATGAAGTACAATCACAGATGTTGAATGGGATTGTTGTCATCAGTTCGGAATCGCTTAAACCTTACAAAGTCGTTTCTGCTCTCAATGGTATTATCTTACGCATCGTGTCCAGTGTCCACAACTCCATTTATCATACTTCCTCGGGGTTAATAAAACCATGTCAAAACGTATTCATGATATCTTACGCTGCACTAAGCGAGGCCTTTTGCTTTCATAATGATGATTTCGGATGAGTTCATGTCAATTAGGTTAGTCAACATACCTCAATTCCCTTTAACAGATGCTGAAACTCTGGACAAATCAAAGCATTACCAGCATAAGCTGCGTCAACATGAAACCAGATCCGTTCATTAGAACAAATTTCACCTAATTCAGCTAAATTATCAAACGAACAACAGGCTGTAGTTCCAAGAGTACCACTTACCTATTTATTTAATAAAAGGAAAGAGATTAGCGAAAGAAGTAACCAAAGGAAATCTATAATTTTAGAAACCACAAAAGTATTTGTCGCAATTCCATAAATCTATTATAGAAGAACCCCATTCGAAAATGAACTATCTGAATTATTTTTCACTGTGACGCACCTTACTCAAAAAAGGCAAGAAAAAAAAAACAATTTAACCTAATCTAGTTCAACTTACGAAAAATGGAATAAGTCCAAGCCGTCGGTCCTCTTCAATAGCTCTTTCTAGAACACTTCCCCTGAGAGCAAAATTTTCATCTACGTCTAACTGTCTCATTTTAACAAAACCAATCATCCCTGCTTTCTCTACACATGAATGTGCCTACAATATAATTATGTTAAGGATGCCAATTGCTTTTGATATGTTATGATCATGACATTTTAGGGATCAAAATAGTTCTACCAAGTGAGGCATGACAATATTGTTCATGTGTTGCTTAACCGCATTGTACCCTACCAAGATGTGTACCTATCTTTATTGTGTTCCTCACAGTCATGAGAACCCTTACTGAACATTCATTCCAAGCCTCATTTACCATTTGCTACATTTTATATAGTATATTGGAACTTAATTATCATAAGTTTAAAAAACATGTCAGTTGTTTGCCGCTTTAGGTTTGCGCTAGTAGTTTATTCAACTATCACGCTTTGAAAGTGCTTCACAATGTCAAGCTACTACGAACTAATTAGACGCAGTTCGTTATAGCTTGACATTGTGAAGTCATACCAGTTTTGATGAGTAAGCTACTAATTTAGATAGTAGAATACCATCCTCGGTATAGGGTAATCGAGACTTCAACTGCCTGACAGCCAGATGACGAGCAACCAGCAACGCTACCAAAACACATTCGCTTGCAGAACCCTGAATAACACCTCCACCAACACCATCTTCATGTAGAAATTCTTTTGGTAAACCGATCATTTTACCTGAAACAAAACGCTAGAACTTTCAGCTTACAATTCTGAATCTCCTGAAATCATTCATTTCCACCTTGTTTCAGATCCCCTTTGACTTTGTTCGATTTTGGACTTACCAATGATTGTGGTTTGAATATGGTATCTCTTTGTCGTTTAAATGCTTTCATAACCACAAGCATATGAGGAAATGCGCTTTCCATGTATTTTTAGATTTAATCATTGAGTCAAACAAAAAAAAGCAAAGACATGATACAAAATATTATAGTTACCCATCCAATCCAGTACTATTGTTTCTAATTCAGTGCATGCCGGACTTGCAGCCTGGAATGAAACATCAATTTGGTGTTATATCAACAATGTCAAGTGTATGGAATGGAGAAATATTGGATGTGAGTGTAATTAAAAAAAGATTCGCAAACGCAGCAAACCAGCTTAAGACAATGTACAGTGATTTGTGTGAGCTTTTACTATTTCCGCCTTTGTCTTTCCATTTAGCATTCTTTTCCATTTTGAATGATCCTCGATGGCTTTTTTCATCAGTTTCAGCGATTTAGATCAGATACATGTCTCCTCTTGATAATAATATCATATTATTCATAATCAAACATACTTACCCAAGAAAATCCGATACAACCGAAAGCATTGGAGAGCATATCCCCCAGTATAGATGGATAGGAATTACCAGCAGGAAAATAAGCGTGAAAATTTGGATGTTGCCAATGAGTAATCTACAAACGATAAAATGAGGTATGAAATACGGCAAATATATACTTGCCATATTATGTGCCAGATGATGCCACAAGGCTATGAACATACGCGCCAGGTGGTACTATAAGGCTATGAACATAATATGTTGACTATGAACATACCTTATAGGCTATGGATATAAAGTATTGACTATGAACATACGACCATAAAGTAAAGGCTATGAACAACATGGTCTGTTATACTTTCCAGGTGGTAGCACAAGGCTGTGAACATACGTTATTATTATGCTATAAACATACTTTATAGGCTATGAAAATGAGGCATTGACTATGAACATACGTTATAGGCTATGAACATACGTTATAGGCTATGAACATACGTTATGGGCTATGGACAATGTTAAAGGCTTTGACCCTACGATATAGGCTAGTAACATACGTTATAGGCTATGGACATACGTCATAGGCTATGAATTTAAGGTATAGGCTTTGATCATAAGGTATAGACTATGAACAACATGGTCTGTTATATTTGTGTTTCGGGTTTTAGTGTAATTTCTATGTATGGGAATTTTTTGATAAAAAAAATAGCACAAATTCTTACCCCTGGCATTATTGCTTTATCTACATCATGCATGATCTCATTGAATTCTTCAGGTTTCTTTGGGGCTTCTTTTGGTAAAAGTTGAGAGAGATAACCAGGTTCTACTTCAGGTGTTACACGTCTTAAACTCAGCTTATCCATATAGTCAGCTATATAATCTACCATTTCTTTACCTCGCTTCCTGAACTCTTCTGATTGCATCTTGAGTCTGTTGATAGTCAAAAAAACAAACGATCAGAAATACCACACCTACACTATAAATGTCCTGATCAGTGGTTTACGTTCGAGTTGAGGGCTGCCCCCTGATTCAACCTGTTGGGACCTCTGCATCACCAACCAGAGACAAAGTGTGAGAAATGCATTCTCGATACTTCTTGGATCAAGGAGTTTTATTGGGTCCGAGTTGCCAGTTGCTATACCCAACCTATAAAGGTACTTCGTAAAACTGTCTAGTAACAAAACTCAATCCTTACAACATTCAGTCCTAACAAAATTTATTTAAAAAAAACTCAAATTCAGTTCTAACAAAACTCAGTGTTAACAAAACTCAAATTCAGTGCTAACAAAACTCAGTCCTAACAAATTCAATTCTAACAAAACTTAGTCCTAACAAAACTCAAACTCAGTCCTTACAAAACTCATTTCGTATAAACCTCAGTCATATTAAAACTCAGACCTATCAAAACTTTGACCTCACAAAACCTTTAGCTGAGAGATCCGAAAAGTAGGCTACTAGTAGACCTGAGGTTTCGACTTTTCTGTAGATCCATCCAATTATATTCTTACTGGCATAAGCGAACTTGGTTGTGTAAAATTCCAAGAAGGTATCCCGAGTGATTGCCATTTTGTTGGTTTTTTTTTTCCTTTTGGGGATGAACATTGTACAAATAATTGTATATTCACATCTGTGCAATTGCCTTAAAAGTCTATCTATAAAACATTGCAGACAAAGGTCCTTATATATCAATAGCAGCTTTTGCAATAGTGATGTCATAAAACGCTTAAATTTAGTGGAATTTAGTGTAGCCACAGTCGTCTGACTGAAAATTGGAATTGAGCAAATTGATGATATCAATGTTCCCGATACTGTTTAGAATCATTTTAAAGCGTACAGCTTTGGCGGGATTGTCATCAATTGATTATTTAGATCATATATATACAGTGAATCGTGTCTTGCTTAACGTGTCATATTCATTATTGTCGGCAAGAGACTGCAATGCTTCTTACCCGTGTTTGAAAAACAATACAGGCTGAATTTTGTCCGTTTATCCGCGCGAATTTTCATTCAATTAAGTTGAAATTAATCTAAATTATTCTTACTCGTTTTTTTCAATTTATCAAATTATACAATATATTTAAATAATGATTACAATAATTACATATTTTCGTCTGGACTTATAACTAACAAACTTCAATATCAACCACAAAAAAAGAAGAAAAAAGGATTACAATTAAAATTCGACTTGATAATATCTGACAAAAAGACTTTTGGAAAATAGAAATCCAGCATTTCAGCATTTCTATGAAATTTCTATGCTTAATAGTCTTGAATTAATAGTTAATAAAAAAAGATGAAGCCTTTGTCAGATAATCCTTAAGCACATTTAATTTCTAAACATCTGAATTAAATACTTACAAAGACGTTTTCAAACGTATTTCCTTCCTACTCCAGAGATGCCGTACCAGTCACCGTGAGTTAAAACGCAATATGTAATAGACGTCGACAGATTAACCTATAGACAGCTAACTCGTTCACAATGAATTATGTTAATCAAATCTCTTGTTTTGGAATTTTCTACTTGTGTAAGAATGGGTATGACAATAAGATGGACTTGGGATGATTGTTAAAACATTCTAATTTATTCATTCACATATAACGAAAATCACCTCGAAAATACCTTGTTGGAACCATGTATTCAATTTGAGCAATACACATACCAGACTGACGGTGTTAGACACAGAGGGCAGTCTGACTAAACGGGAGGAGATTCCAAATAGGGACATGTCATTGCATTGGGGTGTTCTTCAAAGAAAAAATTGTGAAAAATAGAATTAATTTCGTGCTTTCTGACACATATTCTTGGGTCAAAAACATAAAAAAATCATATTTGAAATTTCTGGAAAATGAATTGGGTGTACAGTTTGGGGGTGCATTCTATTTTTCTGAGGGGTCAACCTGTACTCCGTTCGGCACTGCCAATGAATGTCATTACATTACATTACATTATAATCGTTGCAATTACTTTTTTTCCATTTGTAGTTAAAAGTTGATCGTCATATTGATTCAATTGGCAAATCTGTCCCTCAGACGTCAATGATCGTTCAACAATTTTCGAAATGATTTTCGTACAGACAATGTTCAATACGATCGATATGGATAGGGGTCTGTAGATTAACGTCATTTCCATATTCTATTAAAAAGCTATTAAATATCGGGAAATGTGGAATCACAGATTATATTAATACCATTCTTATTCTATATTCACTCCGACCAATTTGCTGTAAAAGTCAGTTTAATATATTCAGTCACTTCATTCAACAATTAGACACCAATTATTAACTCTAAGAGATTTTCATTGGAGCGGGAAAAATTATGCAAAGACTTATATAAGGTTTCTGCCTTGGTCTTTCGTTAGTCCGTGTTTTCTCTGATAGTTCCTTATACCTTTTATGAAGAATCTGGCTAGTATGCAGTGACATTACAATCCGTATAGCCTATAGATATATCTGATATTGCCCAAATTTCTAACCTAATTATGAGATTTTTCCCCGAAAATCTTGCCTTCGGGGCTCTGAGGGAAGAGCCTCCTTTGGCTCCGCCACAGTTGTTTACAATGCCAATAAGTGTAGTGATTTCATTGGTTTTTACGTTATCGATAACAGCCAATCACAGCCCTCGACAGAAAGACCGTAAACAATATAGCTGTGCGTGTAGCCTAAATACTATAGCTCCTCTACAATGGTAGACGCCATTTAAAATGACAATTTCTTTCTAATAATGGTGCTTTCGAACAATGTGTTTGATTTGAACTCAACTTGACAACAGGTGTCTGTCGTACGACAATTCAACATGAAAAGTGTCTATTGTCAAGGTATTAGACGGGGTTCGCTATGGCTTGACATTGTGAATATCACTATGTGTTTTAATTTATAATGTCACTATAGTCTCTATATTTTGTTTGCCTATGGACAACAGTCTGAAGTTGTTCTCTTCCAAATTTCAAGTTCCTTCCTTGTCTGTCACAGTACTTTAAGTTTCCGACAGTTTCCGAAACCACCTTTCGAGGGATTCTCCTCTTGAAAATAGGGGTGAAACTTCAAGTCGATTTTCTCAAAAGATTGGAAAGATTTTGAATGACTATTTTCGACTGAAAATGGAGCAATACTTTTGCAGTTCTTCTGAAGACTATTTACATATATAAAAGACCTAAATTAACCCCCCGAAAATGGCGAATCCCTTTAATATTGATTATCTCCCCTACACTGCATATCAAGAACCACAAGGATTGGCCAATTTGATAATTAGCATTGATCGATGGTTTTAAGGTATACATCTAGATTTATATTGAAAAGTTAATAATACCGATTATGTGTTTCATTGTTTTGTTTTGTATAGTAATTGTAGTTCTACTGCTAATTAAACTGTACAACATAATTTCAATAAGAGTTGATACCATAATAATGTACAAGTTCCTATAAGGGTTGGATAAAAAGTTTTAAATCTAATTGAGGTATCTCAATCGGATTATAAATCTAATTGCGGTATCTCAATAGGATTACATCAGGCGTTTTCCACCAACAGTATCCAAATCCATTGTAAAGAGGTGGGCTTTGAAAGCGTTGTGGGCCTTCAACAAATACAATGCCTGAAAACATTACCCTGGTGCTTGACGTGATGATTGATGATCGACGATTGACAAGTCGACACATTGCTACTGATGTGGTCACAATAAGACTTTATTCTACAATGTTAAACTGTTGGATATGCGATTTTCATACATTTCTGGTACTTCTGAACTTCTTTAGCAGAGACGCTATACTGAATTTTGGCTGAGAAGGTCAGAGGGGTCCCATATTTCCATGTCCTGGTGGATTGAATCTGTTAACGAATATGAGTAAAGTTTATTTGCGAAGATAGTTATTTCTACAATGGCTCTTACACGTTAAAAAATTGGTTACTGTTCTACAGAATTTTTTTGTACAATAAAACAAACATTTAAAACTAAAACTAATGTAACGAGGAATATGGTTATTATGGAACATTATGAGTTATTCATTATTAGAGGTCAAAGGGTGTTCCCATTTGCTATTATGACGTTATTCTTACTTATGACGTTATACCATTATTAACGTTATTCTATTCTTGAAACTCAGTTTTCCAGAAGTTGATAGAACGTTCTCTAGTAAAATTATCATAATTTTACTGTTTATATTGAACTATTCAACATAGAATGATGTTAAACTCGGAAATTATGGACGTCTACTATCAGAGTAAGATTCTAAATCCTCCCAATGAAGAGAGGATGAAGAATTCTGATGGATTTCAACCAAGTTTAATTCAGCAAAATCTTCAGTGCTTCAACAGCCTAAGATTAAAGGCATTAAAGGTACGTTTTGTAACATCTCTGTATAGACTTAAAATCATTTCTTGATTATCAAAGATGCACTGATAAAATGCAATGTTCATCCCATGTCTTAAAATAATTGCTACTTACTCCCAAGCCAGTCAGGGTACAAACGGGGGTAAGGTTAATGGGAATAATGGTTTGTAGCCCCAATTTTACCACCACTTTGTTTCTAATATTTTGCTCCTAAATATGTATCAGAATGCACAATTCAATTCTATTTTTCAAAGGGGGGAAACCCTCTCAGAGGCTTCCTCCTATGTCTATTCCACAGGACTGCTGCATAATGAATCTCAACCTTTACACACACCCCGCCCACCTGTTGTTAAGACAGTCTGATACCTTTTTGTACCCTCAGTCTCGGGATGCTGGTGCCGCCTTTGAGATTTGACCCAAGCCATTCTTCATTTCTTAAATATTTTGTAAAACTGATTAATTATAATGACAACTTTGGTTTGTTTTAGGTAATGCAAAGTAATGCACTGACTCGATCTACAGTCAGTGGTTATAGTTCTGATCTGTTGCAAAATACACATCAATACAGGTTAGTGTATTATTACATATCGCTTCTTCAAG